CCAAGAGATGATGGCTTTAAGACAGAGTGGGTGGTTAGTGGTGACTGATGTCTGGCAAGGACAGCTGTGGTAAGAACAGAACAATTCTTTGGGTTTTGTAGTTCAAGGTCATTAGTGACATGTGCACGAAGAGTTTCAGTGGAGTGGTGTGGGCAGAAGCCAGATTGCATTCACTTGAAGAGTGAGGAGTAAAATGTAAAACTTGAGTGTAAAGAGATGACAAGGTAGAATTGAATCAGGATGGATGTTTAAGGGGAAAAAAAAATACTGTATTTGGTAAGGGAGAGAGAAAGCCTAAGTGAGAGAGCTCTGGTTCAGGGCTAGAGCCTGGAGTTAGAATCACATTCCAGCTCTCCCGCCTGGGAGGCAGGAAGCCAGTTCCTAGAGCCATCGCTGCTGCCATCTTGATTCTGCCTCCTGGAGATGCTGCTTGGAATCAGACACGGGCACCTAGTCGTGTGACATGGGTGTCTTAATCCACTAAGCTAAAAACCTAGTTTGAGGGAGATATTGAAGTAAGGCCCATGGTGAGGATGGAGACAGTGTGTGTGTGTGAGAGAGTATAAGTGCGTGCTGGGGGAAGAATTTGACTTTCAACAATGGAAAGAGGAACAGTTCTTCAGTGTGACTACAGGGAACTAATGAAAGAAGGGTACTCGGACTGAGCATCTGTGCAAACAGGTGGCTTTGGAATGAGTGCAGTGAGTCCTTCCAGTCAGCCTTTCTGTCATGAAAAACCTGTGTCAAAGGGGAAATACTGAATGATAACAGAGCAGGAGCAGTGAAAAAAGTACTGAACGGATAAGGTTTTACAGAAAAATTTTGCATTGATATTGAAGACCATCTACTTTCTATTTCTTGAAATTTCTCTCCTTCCCGTGTGATTAAACAAAATAGGCTACCCCCTTGATACAGTGGTGAGTTGCACCTATTTGGTTTGTAGAATCCTGTCAGGTTCTTTAAATACATATTCTGGGGGAAAAAATGTGCTCTTATTTGTGGCTCATTAGTACTTGATGGAGCTAACCCAGCTTATACTTTGGGGGTGTGTTTATGGGTTTGTGTGTGCATATGTGAATATAACTTATTTTACTCTTGGTTTTATCTTAGGACAGTGCGATTTTTAAATTTTTATTATTTTTTTTAGATTTATTTTATTCCTTTGAAAGACAGAAACAAGGAAGTCAAGAGACCTCTTCTGTCGTCTGGTCCAGCAATGGCCAGAGCTGGGCTCATCTGAAGGCAGGAGCCAGCAGGCTTTTCCGAATCTGCTCTGTGGGTGCAGGAGCACAAACACTAGGGCATCTTCCCCTGCTTTCCAAGGTGCGGTACCGGAGAGCTGAATCCGGAGCAGAGGAGCTAGGACTTGAAATGGTGCCCGTATGAAATGCTGGCATTGCAGAAGGTGGCTTTACTTCACTTTGGCAGCCCCAAGTGAATTTTTTTTTATGGATTGTATACCAGGGAAGTAGTGAGCACTGTACAGCTGTTGGGTAAGTCCCTTGTATTCATAGGCCCAGTGAACAGATGGAAGGTTTCTAATAGGATTTATTGGTCTCTGATTTGGAACACTACTAGGAAACCAGAGTGTACCTCTTTCAATCTGTTTTCCTATGTTTCCTTAACAGATTTAAAAGTCAGAAAGCTCTAAGAATGTTATTAAATGTTGGGTGCCGTAAACTACATCTTGGGTAATCCTGTCTCACTTTGAGATTATCTTTTTATCTTGCTTGTTCTGGAAATTTGAAGTACTCCAGATGAGAGTGTCAGAGGGCTGTTGGAGGAGGGAGGAGTCTGTCGAAATGAGATACAAGGATGGATTCAGAGGATGACTTGGTGAGAAGTAGATGATCCTGAGAGCTTTGCGGCAGACGAGGATTCCATGTCTGGAGGCTGGAACATAGGGAAGAGAAGTCTGTTCTCCCGGGAAAGATGAGCTTAATTGAACTCACTGTCCTTTTGGTACACACAGTTCAGGATGTTACACACGGGAGCTGTGATTTCGGTAGAGAAGTCCGAGTTTGAGATACTGAATTTGAATCCTTCTCGTTGGCTGACATAAACAGTTGACATAAACCGATGAATGGAAAGACTGTGTAGGCAAAAGGAGAAGCTTGTTGACATTTGGAGTAAAGGAACAGCCAGAGAAATTAGAGAACTGGAATGACAATTCACAGAAAAGAGACAGTCTATATGAAGTTGAAGATCCGAGGATAATTCCTTTAGGATAATTCCTGATTTTGGAGATGACTTACTTCATTAGTATAATGTTTTAAGGTATATCCATGTGATAGCATTCATGGGAATTTCCTTTGCAAGGCTGAGGAATAGCATCATGTTGTATGTATATTCTACGCTTAGTTTATTCATTCATTGGTGGTTTCCTCATTTTGGCTATCTCATCTCTGCTTTCAGTTCTTTTGTGTTTATGTAAGATAATGTGAGTGTTTGTCAAGTAATAATTTTATGTTTTTAACTTTATTTGGAATTTAGTTACATATTTCTGGTCCTTTAGTCTTGTGGTGCATATATTTTGTGTATGTGTGCTGTGCAATAAAAGAATTTTATCAAGTAATTGCGTTCTACATAAAAGGCAATGTTACTGTCTAGAAGTATACTTATTTTAACCATAAGTCTGTTAGAAAATGTTGCAGGCTAAGTGTAGAGCACATATGTTGCCTACTGGGTTAGAATCAGCATCAGTTTGGTGCTATTCCTGCTCTCAATAGTGATTCAGGAATCTGGAGAGTTTTAAGTTGTATTCACTGATTTCAGAAGGGTCTGGATTAGTGGCTGTCCTTTTGGCATGTCTCACGTTTAGCCTGCCTAGGATCCCAGCATCAGGCCGCCAACCCACCACTCCCAAGCCAGTGCAGTAGCACGCCAGGAGTACGGTCTTTCCAGAAATCCTGCTTCCTTCCCTTGGCCTGCCGCTTCCAGAACATTGAGGTTGTATGCCTTGGGTGCAGCCTGCCAGGAGTCAGGCCTCTGGCCTGCAGCTCCCTGACTTTCGAATATTTATTCTAAGGTTTGTCCATTGCTGTTTTAGACAGAGTTTCTGCAGACTTCAGAACTTTGAATAGAAGTCGCCCTTGAGTGTAGGCCAAAGTGCCCAAAGTACTGGTCGGGGTTTTTAGGATGAACTGTGTGTGACATGCCAAGATCCAGTGGCAACTTCGAAAGAGGGTCAAGAAAAGAGGTCGGTAAAACATGTCTGCCTTAAAGTGCCACGGTGTTAATATGGAGAAAGCAGACTGTACCACCGTTTGCCTTTTGAAGCAGTGTATGAGGGCTTCCACTGGTTCAGTGGAGCAGACAGGCTTACCTATCCTTTGCTCCTAGTCCTACATGCTTTGGCTGTGGCCTTGGGCCTCCTCCAGGGACCCTGTCCTCTGCAGTGCTCTGACCCCAGGTCCCTCCCTGTGGGGCCAGACAGTCATCCCAGGCAGGCTTGTGCCAGCCACAGGGGTTAAGTTGCTGGTTGGGGCACCCTCTGAGTGCTTGATTCCAGTCTCAACTCTTACACGTTTGAGCCAGCACCCTGGGAGGCAGCAGGCCATACTTGGGTCCTCGACACCCGCACGAGAAACCCAGGTTGAGTTCTGACCTCCTGGCTCTGGCCTGGTGCAACCCTTGCTGTTGCTGTTACCTGGGAGTGAACTTGTGGAAGGACGACCTCTCTCTATGTTACTGCAAAATAAAATGAAAATAAGCAGAAAATTGAAAAGCAGAAATGCATTTCGAAAGACTTGATTTGCAGTCATACAACTGTGGAATATGAACTGTAGGGAAGAATTTAGAGATGGATGGATTTGGAGGCACTTGCCATGGTCCAGGAGAAAGGCGAAGAATCCCTGTTGCCTGATCCCATTCATGAGACTGTGCACTGGTTATCAGGGCTTGGGGGAAGAGGGAATGGCAGTGACTAATAAGGGTGAGATTTATTTGGGTCTGATGAAAATGCTCTGCATTGATATGGTAGTGATGGTTGCAGATCTTTGCCAATAATTGAAAAGTGTGGACTTGTGGAGCTGTTTACTTCTAGGTGGTGAATTTGATGACATGTGAACTGCATCTCAATTTCTTTTTTCCAAGATTTATTTTTACTAGGAAGGCAGATACAGAGAGAAGAAGAAAAGGAAGAAAGATCTGGTTCATGAAAGGCGAGGACTTTAACTGCTAGATTATCATGCCAGACCTCTCAATTTTTTTTAAAGATTATTTTTATTGGAAAGGCAGATTTACAGAGAGGAGAGACAAAAAGATCTTCCATCTGCTGACTTACTCCCGAAGTATACGCAGTGACCGGAACTGAGCCGAATTGAAGCCAGGCGCCAGAAGTTTCTTCTGGATCTCCCGCGTGGGTGCAGGGTCCCAAGGACTTGGACTATCCTCTACTGCTTTCCCAGGCCACAAGCAGGGAGCTGCATGGGAAGTGGAGCAGCCAGGACATGAACCAGCACCCATATGGGATTCTGGCATGTACAAGGCTAGGATGTAGCCCCTAACATTGTGCCAACCCCCTGACTATCTAAGAAGAGAGAGGGGAAGAAAGAAGAAGGGAGATGGATTCATTTAGATCCTGAAGCAGACAAGGTCAGCACAGGGAGTACTGACTGGGTGTTGTGAGACTTGACGGATCAGAGACTGCGCATTGGCAGTGTCCAAAGTGAAACTGGACTGCTGGCTCTTGAGTTTCTTTGCTGTGTATCTGAATTTCCCGGGAAAGAAATGCTGAAACAGTCCTGGCTTGAAGAGACATTCACGAGCTGTGTGAGGTCAGTGTAAGCAGTTAAAAACAATGGCTCAGACTTAAAGAATCTGGGACTAGAGAAAGAAATGGGGTATAGAATTTTACCAAAGGTATCAGTCACTTACTAGTGGATGACAGTTTACCACAATGATCCGTTGTGAAAAGAATTTGCTCCTCATCCTCAAATCTGATGTAGAGGTACTTTGCCCTTGTTTGATAAAGCTGAGTTTTACTTTTTATCTTCCAGGCAGAGGCCAGGCTTGCAGCAAAACGGGCTGCCAGGGCCGAGGCAAGAGATATTCGAATGAGAGAATTGGAGCGACAACAGAAAGAGGTAATCAAGTAGTAGAACCTTGTTCCTGTGCTTGTCCTAAAACAAATCAACTCATGACTAGTTTACTCCTGACGTAAATCTGGTTCCCTTTGCGGCACGGAGTATAGTGTGATTGTAACAGCAATTTAACCAGTCGTTCTATTTCCACAAATTTATTTTAGTTGAGATTTATTTTAAGTAGCAACAGAAAGGTATGTGGCTCATAGATGCGCTGTTAAAATGTTTCATTGTGTTCCAAGTGCTTTGGTAGCAGGGAGAAGAGGTTTTCAGGGACCACAGACCACAGGATGGCTCTGTTCAGTCCTGGAGTTTGGCTGAATTAGACACTTGAGCAGCGAAACCCTGTCACGTTGTTCAACCTTAAAGCTTTGCAGTATATTTAATAATGGAGGAAAAGAGACAGAAAAATAAACCTGTTTTAAACTATAAATTTCTTCTAAAGTAACCAATTTTGTATTGAATGCCAGTACCTACCTAAAGGATTAAAAACTACCAGGAAGAAATGATTACTGTATATGCTTTGTTTTGTTGATGGCAGAATTATGGTTTTATTTTCTTCTTACGCTTTTTCATAGTTTATAAACTTTAATACGCTTTTAACATCAGTGAGAAAACAAAACAAAAAGAAGGCGTTTAGAAATTAGGCAGATTGAGATGAAATGAACACTGTTTTACCTTTTCCTTCCAATACTGACTTGGTCCTGAAAATTTGCATATGGATAATTTTCATGTTTAATTAGTACAAAGAGAAAGTATTAAATATCTTCTTTTGATGTAGGTAAAGAAATATGTGTTTTCTATATTGTCAGAGTCTCCCCCAAATTGTTACATTGCTAATTTTTAAAAACCTCATACAGTTTCAAATAGTGAATATGATTCTTAGTTTGAAATGAAAATGTTGGCATATATGGTTTTTATTTATACTCCTGAAACTATGTGAAATATTCTAAAAAACTTACTAAATATATTTATTATGTATTTTTATATTAAACATATTGATTAAGTATAAATTCTGTTTGTGGTCGTGTACAGAACCACATACTTCACTTTTGAACCTGTTTCGTGACTTCCTGCATTTTGAATATGTGACTTGTAGTCGATTATCAGTGTTTTTTTAGGGAAAATGTGTATGATTCATTAAGGCCTTTTGATGACTGTGGTGTATTGGTAGTTGTTTGTTAATGAAACTTCTGCATTTCTAGCACTCTTACCAGTCCTTTGATCGGAAATGGGGACAGATTCACAAGTGGCTGGTAGGCCAGGATTGCCCGTCTTGCATGTTGTGATCTGTTGCTAAAGTAATGCAATCTTGAAGTAAAACATTGACTAATAGTTTGCAAAGTAGGAGTGTTTGGCCTGTGTCAGCTTGAAAAGGTCACGGAGTGGTCTTGCCTGTCTCATCTACAAATCCGTACTTGGAATTCATTTTCTGTCGTGGCCAGTAGCTTCACCTGTGTCTGAGTGCACTAATCGCTAGATTGAATAAATGAATGTGTCTTTTGTCCTTTTTAGTTTTTAAAATTTATCTTATTTTTATTGGAAAGTCAGATATACAGAGAGGAGAGACAGAGAGGAAGATCTGTCCCTTGGTTCACTCCCCAGGTGGCTGCGAAGACCAGAGCTGAGCCAATCCGAAGCCAGGAACCAGGAGCTTCTTCTGGGTCTCCCACATGGATGCAGGTCCCAAGGCTTTGGACTGTCTTCTGATGCTTTCCCAGGCCACAAGCAGGGAGCTTGCGGGAAGCAGAGCAGCTGGGATATGAACCAGCACCCATAGGGGATCCTGGTGTGTACAAGGCAAGGACTTTAGCCACTGATATTGTGCCAGGCCCATGTCTTTTATAGACTTTTTTTTCTGTCTCAAATTCCTTTTTTTTTTAAGAAGAAAAAAAAAAATGAGGTCTTCATAGTGTTCCTTGGGAGATGAACCAAATCCTTTTGTCTCTAAGAATTACTCTTTCAGCTCTCCCAGCTTTCTATCTTTTCCTCTACTGCCACTGTCAAATTGATTAGCTACAAAAGCAAATTGCAAGCCTATAAAACATTGCTTATTGAATCATTCCCAAATTGGAACTTTTTTTTTTCAAGATTGATAAGTTCACAAGTTTATTGCAGGAGTTCATACGTTGGCATGACTAAGGTTGAGAGGTAGGTTATGAACCTTAAAATATTATGCACATTTTGTGAATTTTTACGGGTGCGTCATCAGATTCGCAAAGATGGTTATGATTTTTAACGATTGAGAACCACTCTCAAATGGTTGCCGAACAAGCAGATCCTCTCTGTGGCAACATTTTAAGGGATAATCAGAATTAAAAGTCTTAGGACTGTGATGACCTCCAAACTTGAAACTTTCTCATTTCTCGTTATGAGATCATTTCAGAAAAGAGAAAAATGTGATTACTTAGAAGTAATTGACTTCCATGTGCATTTGTTATCTTGAATTGGATCTGCCTTTTTCTAGCAGCTAAAGGTAGCCTAATTAAGTTTATTTTCTGTGACTTCTGCTTCTGAGTTAATATTGATTATACGTATTTTTGCATGAGTAAAATGAAATCCTTAAAAGATTTACACGGAAGTATTAGCTGAATTTGTTCTTTCAGTATCAAGGTAATTCTAAAATTAAATTGCCTAAGGTTTTAAATTTTGTTTATTTGAGAGGGAGAGGAAGGAACATAGAGAGGGCTTTTATTTGTTGAGTCGGTCCCCAAATGCTTGCAAGGGGTGGGGCTGGGTCGTTCTGAAGATGGGACACAGGAATTCATTCCAGGTCTCTGTGAGTGCCTGAGCTGTTTCTGGCTAACTCGCAGCTTGTTCCTTAGCAGGAGGCTAGAATTGTGTTGGGGCTGGTGCTTGAACTTAAGCCCTCTGAGATGGCATCCCAGTGGCAGCTCAGCCATTAGGCCAGGTACCTGCCCCTGCCCAGGGTTCCAATAGGGAGAGAGAAGGGCAGACATGCATGTACATTCACTGTCTAATATTTGATGTCTGAGTTTACAGACTGCATATAAACAACCCTCCCCACCCCCCTTTTTTGAGATCTATGTGATGCATTTGTGATTTAGGCTTGCTGGAAGCAGTTAGAGGCTTACCGTGCAGGTAGTGACTGTTCTAGATAAATGGGAACTGAAGCTCTCTCTCTTTTTTTTTCCTTCTTCAGAGAAGGAAGATTATCCAAATGAAACTCAGGTTACTTTGCCACTCTGATTTCCCTCTTGACTTGGTGGGAGTGTGGCCATTGTGGGATGGTCATCTCTATGGTTGCTGGTCGAGTGAGGCGGAAGACCTGAATGCTGGCCCCACTTGCGTGACATCATGGCTTCTGACTTACTCCCTTTGTGATTTAGACTTGTTTACTGTAAGATGAAGGAAAGGGTTAGTCTAGATGATTTCTAAGCTCTTTGAAAAATACATGTATTTTAAAGATTTACTTACTTATTTGAAAGGCAAGGTTAGAGAAGGAGAGAAAGCTCTGCCCCGCGGTTTGTTTCCCAAGTGGCCACAGTGGTCCTTCCCACTGGCCCATGGGATGGCAGGGGGGCCAGGGAGCTCAGGGTCATGCTGGATTAGCATGCAGTCTTGTGTCATTGGCTCATTTTGGAAAAGATAATGTTCATTGGCTGTAGGTCCAGTTGGGCAGTTGTGTGTAGATTTTTCATCAGTACAAATCAATATTTTGGTCTTTGAAATTCTGAGGATTGAAGAGTTCCTCTGGTTTCGGGTGAATCGGCCCGAGAGGTGAACCATTTCATCTCCCCTGACCCAGTCTGTGTGCTTCGCCGTCAGTGGTTGTGGAAAAGTTTGGAATTGCGTTTAATGTAGTCGGCCGTGGGGGCTGTGGTGAGTTATTTTCATGTGTGTTTAAGGCATGACTCTTGCACAATTTCACCCCTCCATGAGGTATTTATGTACTTTCTTCCAAGTTTATAGCTAGATTTTCTTGTTAAGAACACATTATCAAGGTCTGTGTCACTTACTTGTTCTTTTCCAGCTAGATTGGTGACTGAGAAAGAATTTCTTTACAGTGATCACAAAATGATAAGCCAGCATTTTTAAGGCAATATGCTGTCTCCTCAAATACATCTGTGATAAACATTTCTTCCTGTCTTACATAAATTAATGTTCAGATTTTTTTTTTAAGGATTTATTTATTTATTTGAAAGTCAGATATAGAGAGAAGAGGAGAGACAGAGAGGAAGATCTTCCATCTGATGATTCACTCCCCAAGTGAGCGCAATGGCCGATGCTATGCCGATCTGAAGCCAGGATCCAGGAACTTCTTCTGGGCGCCCCACAAGAGTGCAGGGTCCCAAAGCTTTGGGCCATCTTCGACTGCTTTCCCAGGCCAGAAGCAGAGAGCTGGATGGGAAGTGGAGCTGCTGGGATTAGAACCGGCGCCCATATGGGATCCCGGCGCGTTCAAGGCGAGGAGTTTAACTGCTAGGCCACGCCGCCGGGCCCTGTTCAGAATTTTTTTTTTAAAAAAAGTCACTTTAATGCTAAACTCAAATTTTGTATATTTTTATCTAGATGTGTTAAAGCTTTTTGGCCACAGAAATGGTCAGACATACATACACCTGATAAAATCAAAACGTTGCCAAGATTATTTTTCCTTTCTTCCCTGTGCATGCAGCTCCCCAGAACTTGGTTTTTGAAAGCTCTGATGAGGCTGATGAGTTACGATAAGCAGCCTGGAGGTGGGTAACTCCCCGTGTGCTCTCTCCTTTCTCAGGAAGATGCGGAAAGGGCCAGGTTTTCCCACCGGTCCAGTCATCATCGGCCGTCTCTGGTTTGTAGTAACTTGTAAAATGCTCCTCACACTTTTCCTCATTAACTTCATATGGTCATTCATGAGCCCTTACTGTGTTTGTTTTTATTTTTATCAGAAAGTTGAGGATGCATTGTCCCTTCGAAGCCTCGGCAGTCACAGGGTTGGTATTTAAAGTTGTTTATACCGTAGTTGCTTTCTTTAGCATCAACAATCACCTAAAGAATCGGACAATGTTCATTATCCCTTTGCCTTGAAAATAAAAAGAGAAAGTGGAAAATTAAGGCAAAGTTCTTCAATTGAAAATTGAAACTTTTGCTCAAATTATTGCTCGAAACAAGTTCTGAAATCGTGAATATTTTAATCTGTTGACACGTATGACTATTCTCTTTTGATAGAAGGCTATCTGATTTTGGATAAGTGTCCCAAAATTATACAGCTGATTATATAGATTTCCAGGTCATCCTCCTTAAATATTTTAATGACAGCTTGTTCAATGAGGAATAGTTTTGGGGCTTGGGTGACTAATTACAATTACATGGAACCCTTGATCTGTGGACTTGAAAGCTGCTCTGCTTGCTCTGCTTTGCCATTTTGCTTAACGCCTCACATAATCCCCCTAGCTGTTTGGCATGAAGTGTGATCGGTGAAGGTGGATGAGAAGCCGTTCACTGACGTCAGGCTGGCGTCTGCTCCCCGAGTGCAGAGGACTGCGCTGTCATCTGCAGGACCCTGCTTCTCATTTGCACAGTGGTCCGTCTCGGTTTATCATCAGTAAAAACAATCTTCACCGGTGAGGCCTTATGTGTTAAGACCTCTCTTTTCACATTATTACAATAGATAAGAGGATACATTGTAATAAAGTGAACATTGTTCTGACATCCTAGACTAGTTATTGACACATTTAAAAAGTCTTTCACACTCATTACATTTTATTATGATGAATGTGTTTTGAATCAGTATATTTTTTTTTAAAAAAAGATTTCTATTTTTTTTTTTTATTGGAAAGTGAAATATACAGAGAGGAGGAGAGACAGAGGAAGATTTTCCATCCAGTGATTCACTCCACAAGTGACCTCAGCGGCTGGAGCTGAGCCAATCCGTAGCCAGGAGACCAGAGCCTCTTCCGGGTCTCCCACGCAGGAGCAGGGTCCCAACGCTTTGGGCCGTCCTCCACTGATTTCCCAGGCCACAAGCAGGGAGCTGGATGGGAAGCCGGGCCGCTGGGAATAGAATCGGTGCCCATGTGGGATCCCAGTGAATGCAAGGCGAGGACTTTGGCCAGTAGGCTACCGCTCTGGGCCTGAATCCGTATAATTTTATTTACAATATTCTTAGGTTTTTCAGAATACTAGTGAATTTTTAAATAAATCCAACTTAATCAGGGTAAAAATGATTTTGTAGAGCAGATACTTTAATCTGTCGTGTTTCTCAGAGATACATTTTTTTTTCTTTTCAAATAGTTTGAAAAGACTGTCAGATAACTGGTCAACAAGAGCTTCAAAGTAATGTCCAAGGATTCTTTCATGTGTAGGTTTTTTCCTTGCTTTTGTGAGGTTCAGTATGGGAATTTTCGCATAGTTGTTATCAAGCTGGGTGTTTATACGTTGGCACATAACCTTAGGAAAACTTGACTATATTGGTTTCAGTTAAAGTTAAAACCAAACAAGTGTGACTTATTTTAGGATCTTTAAAACAAATGTGCAAACAAGAAATCTGTAGTTCGGTTGATCTGGATTGTTTATTTGGAGCAGCTCTAGGACACTGGATACTGCCGTAGGTTTCCTTTTTATGATAGCACTAGTTAGGTGTAGTGATTAGTACACATAGTGTGAAACAGCAAGGGTTTTTTTTCTGTTTATGTATTTAGTTCTTGCATATACATCCATTTTTAAAGAATGCTTACAGTTTCTCTTTGTCTTTTTCGCACACTGTTTAATTCCATCGAGGAGTCCCTTGAGGGCTCTAACTGGGACTTCCTGGACATCGTAGTGTGTACTGAGAAGCGTGAGTGCTGTCAGCACGCTGCTGTCACTCTGGTTTTGGTTGTTGTGGGCTTTGAACAGTTCATGTGTTCTGATAGTTCCTGATGCTCGGTGCACACTGCTTTCATAACTGATCTGCTGCACTTGGTTTTGATTCTGTTTCCATGTAAGAAGAAATTCTCTGTTTAATTAAAAAAAATAATAGCATTTAATAGGAAATTCAGAGATGTTTTAGCTGGAGCTATTTGTAATTTCTTCTTCCTAAAGTGAATCAAGTTTTTGGAAAATTTCTATTTTTGAAATTTGTTTTTTTTTTTGAGCAGTAGAGAAAGAGAATGAGATCAAGAAAAAGCTCTCCCTTGCACTGGTTCCCTTGCCAAACAGCTGCTGGCCAAAGCCAGAGCCCCAGGTCCTGTCCAGGTGCTCCCCTGCAGTGATAGGATGCCAGCCTCTAGTCCTGCCTCCAAGGAGCTGATGAGCAGAAAGCTTGCACACACAAGTAGAGCCTGGAATTGAACCCTGGCACTTAAGTGTGGGCTGTGGGTGTCTCAGCTGGCATCTTAACTGCTAGACCAAATATTTGCCACCCCCACTTTTTTAGGGTAAGATTTATTTTTACTTGAAAGGCATAATTACATAAAGAGAGAAAGTGCACAGTTCTACCCTCTAGTCCACTCTCCACATGACCGCAATGGCTGGCACTGGGCTGCTCCCTGCAAAGCCCGGAGAACAAGGTTCTTCCAGGTCCATATGGGATGCTGGAACCACAGGTGTATGTGTAACCTGCTATATCTTGGCCCCAGCCTTATGCCCCCACTTGTTTTTAGGCAGTGTGAATGCCAGTTTTCATTTGAAAGGGTTCTCTTGACTTGCCTAACTGTTTTAGCAATTGGTATGTTTAATTTGTAGATTTCCCGACTAGGTAGACTCAGCAACTTTAAAGCCAGATGAACTCTATATTTTGGATTCATGTAAAATGTCGCTGGTGCTACGGAGTTGAAGAGAAGACTAAACATGGCTGCTCTCCTGCATTGAGTTTCACCGGTTAGGAGGACAAAGTACTCCTTATGCTAGAGTGAAGGATTTTGCCATAGGCTTTTGGTTCTAGATGTTTTTCTGGGTAAAAGTGTTATGTATTTTGTTAATTTAGAAAAGAATGATGTAAAATTTCTGTTGAAGAAGATTTATTTTTAGGGAAATATCATGCATCAAAGGTTGACATTTAATCATTATATGCATCATTTGCCAAATACACTTTCATGTGTTTTCGAAGATGTTCTAACGTGATGCTGTTTGAACGCCACCGTGATGCTCCCCTTACCTTCTGTGTGAGTTTCAGGCTAGTACTCATTCAGGAAAACTACACATGCTCACATTTTGCTTCAGCGCCTTGTAACTATTACATATCCAGGAGTTTACACTGTATGATTGGGCCATTTCCCCTTATACTTGAAAAATAGATCTTTGAGGTTCCTACAGTAGCTTTTGCAAATGACCACCTCATTACACATGTAAGGAGAGGCCTTGTTCTGTCTGAGCTGTTATTATAATTACTGGAACCAAAGTATATCATTGGTCTTCTAACATATAAACTTTTTTCTATTCTGAAAGCTTAAATGTTTTTGACAAGTTGTGATTTCTGCAACAAAATAGCAGTCCATCCTGAACTACATGTGTGGACCATGATCCAGCATACACATGTAGACCTGTGTATATGTGTTCGTATGTGCAAATGCAAATATGAGTAGTATTGAGATACAAGTTTCAGACACTGCTTACTCTGCACAACACTGTTTTTTAATGTTCACTAAATTGGTTTCATGAACCTTTAATGAGTCACAGTAGCCTGTTAGGAAAGTGGTGCCTTACATTGAATAGCTTTCTAAAGCCTTAAAGAAGTGTCATAACAGTTGTGAAAGAAGGATATCTGTACCGATGAGTACTTAAACCACCTGAAGAAGTGATCCATTGGTTCATTTTATGTTTTGGCTTTCTCACAAGATTTGTAGAAAAATATTAACTTCAATCTTTATAAAACAGTATTAGGAAATCACAACCTTATGTAATTGTGCTTGGAACTGAAATAGGGTGTTCTAGGATTCCTTCAAAACAAGATATACATGAAATGTGGATTTTGATGTTAGGGGTTTTGTATTTTTTGTTTCTATTCATTATGCTGCGTGTACGTGTGTCATGCAGTCTGTACCTGTGTGTCTGCAGGCAGTTCCCTGGGAACAACCTGCTTTGTATACTGCTTTTTTCTTTTTTTTTGAAGGGGAGGGAGGAGGAGATAGGTCTTATCCCATTTCTTGTCTATTTTTTTCTTTCATCATTTTCCAACAAGGAAAAATGGCAGTCATAGTAATAAAAACAAACAACCTTAGAGTTTAGAGGTCCTAGGAGTTGCATTTAAAGATTTTATTGTTTTCTGTAGTGAGATTAAGTCATCTCCCCTCTACCGATTATAAATTTTATTTGAGAGAAAAATAATCAGTTTTAAGTGCAAATGCGTTTTTGCAATAGTTTACGTTCGGAAGAATAGTGAGAAGGACATTCTCTAATTAAAATATACTTTTATGGTAAAACTATTTAGTATTTTGAAGGGCAAAGTCATGGCAGGGAAATACCTCCCGTTTGCTGACTGACCCGCCACATGCCTGCAGCCAGGAGCTGCAAAGCTCCCTGTGTCTTCCGCACCGGTGGCAGAGTTCCAGGGGCTTGAGGCACCTCCCGCATCATCATCATCTCCCAAGATGCGTTAGCATACAGCAGGAGCAGCATGGAGTAGCCGGAATTTGAACTGCTCAGCTCTGTGATGTGGGTGTTCCAGGTGGCAGCTTAATTCATTGAGTCGCAGTGCTTGCCATAACGTAATGCCATTTGCGTTTAATGTTTTGAAGTAGGCTGGAGTTTTAATAACTTAAACATTTTACTTTTCTCATTTTTATATTTCTGAATTTGAAAATGCAATCAACATTGACCTTTTTTCCTGAAATCCAGTATGATTCTACGAAGGACAGATCATCAAGATCTTCATCATTAGTATGTAGTGCATGGCTTTGTTGTATATGCACTTTTACTGCTAACATCTGTTGATGTGAGTCATCGTAAATAAACTGAATGACTTTGTTCTCTCTGGGGAATAATGTTTGATTAGGAAACCTAGAACTGTGATTATTCATTAGAATAGTGGTTTTTGCCAAGAATTTCAGGATCAAATGGAAGTTATTTCCTTATTTAGAGCTAAGACTGATAGTAGTAACTTCTTAAAATGATGAACCAGCACTTCCTACATTCTCATTGCCCTGGAAAGCATGCTTCGAATAGTGTTGACTTTTTAGTTGTTTATTTCTTTTGAAAGGGAGAGGGATGGAGGCAGAGAGAGAAAAAGAAGGGTGAGGGTGGAGGTGATAACTTCATGTGCTAATTCACGCCCCGGACACCAATAACAACCAGCCAGGACTGGGCCAGCCTGAAGCCAGGAGTGTAGAACTCCATCCCATTGTCTCAGATGGTGGCAAAGGCCCAAGAACTCGAGCCATCATGCTCTTGTCTTCCATGATGTGTTTACACTACGTCAGATCAGGAACAGAATAACCAGGCACTGCAGTGTGGAATGTGGTGGCCCACGCAGCAGCTTCACCTGCTGTGAAGCGAGGCCTCTAGAAAGTGTGTTGATGCCCACTAAAGTAGCAGCCCAGGCCCAGTTGTGTTCCATGTTATGTGTCAGAAGTTACCAGGTGTGTGAAGTTACCCTATACAAAGCATCCAAGATGTTAGATCCCAGTGTTTAGGTTTAATTTGGGTCACTTTTTATGGTGTTTCATATTAGCCAAGAAAGGGATATTTGCCGAGGCCCCACAAATGTCTTGCCTGGCTTTATGTCCTAATCAGTTTTTTCCTTCCTGGGCAGACAGGTAACTGTATACCGAGCATAGGAAGCAGTGGAATACAGCTGTGTAGCAAGGCCGTGTTTCTCAGCCATTCCAATGCAGTGATTCATTGACTAACAGATGGGAGTAGATTGCATGTGGCCTACTCTGTATTTCATACGGACCTTTGTGTGCATGATTGAAGATTTTTTTTTAATTATTTAAAAAATTTGACTGTGTGTTCATTAAAGTTAATGTACACATTTACTTCCAGAATCATTCTTACAGCCACTCCTATGGAATGAAGAGGAGATCTTCTGGTCCTCGGAAGGACCCGCTGGTTAGTTCTCTCGCTCCGTCTAGGAAACTCAAGGACCGTGACTGTTATGGCCTTATAGAAATTTGAAAGTAGACTGAAATGATTTGTCAGAACTTTATTAAACATTTTTTTATAAGCCAGTTATTATCAAAGTAGCACGTGCTTACTCCAGGGTCTACAGGCGTTTTCATTTATGAACTATTCTTTGGAATATACCTAGAGGGTAGGTTTATTGAGATTTGCATCCTTACTTTAAGAATTGAATTCATTTGGCTATGGTATTATGGGAAGAGCCAAAATCAGAAATAGGGTTTTTCCTTATTATTTACTTACTGTTTGGAAGAGTTAGATAGGGAGGAACACATACACAAGCCATGTTATCTTCTGTCTGCTCACTCATTGTCTGGATGGCCACCAGGCCAAAGCCAGGAGCTGGGGTTTCATCCAGGTCTCCCATGTGGAGGTGCAACTTCTTGGGGTAACCTGCACTGCCTTTCTCGGGTCATGAACAGTGAATGTGCGCAGGAATGAAGCTGGGGTCAGGAGTGGAGCAGTGGGACTCTGGTTGGGCGCCGTCACTGCAGGCAGCATGTGGAGCTATTACTCCACAGTGCCAACTATATATATATATATTTTAAGATTTCTTTATTTTTATTGGAAAGGCGGACATACAAAGAGGAGGAGAGGCAGAGAGGAAGATCTTTCATCTGCTGGTTCTCTCTCCAGGTGGCCGCAACCGCTGGAGCTGCACCAATCCAAAGCCTGGAGCCAGGAGCTTCTTCTCGGTCTCCCACATGGGTGCACGGTCCCAAGGCTTTGGCCTGTCCTCTACTGTTTTCCCATGCCACAGGCAGGGAGCTAGAAGGGAAGTGGAGTAGGCAGGACATGAACTGGAGTCCATATGGGATCCTAGCGCATGCAAGGCAAGGACTTTAGCTACTAGGCCACTGTGTTGGACCCAAGGTGGTTGTTTTTTAAAAGGTTTATTTGAGGGGACTGGTGTGGTGGATCTTCACATTAATCCTCTCTCTGCAAGCGCTGGCAGCCTATATGGGTGCAGGGTCGTGTACTGGCTGTTACACTTCCCATCCAACTCTCTGTTTATGGAGAAGAGGATGGCCTAGGGACGCTGCACTTACGTCAGAGACCCAGAGGAACTCCTGGCTTTTGGATCAACTCAGCTCCAGCTGTTGCTGCCGTTTTAAGGGTGAACCAATGAATGGAACAACCTTCTCTCTCTCTGTCCTTCTCTCTAAGTATGCTTTTTCAATAAAAACGAAAACTAAGCTTAAATATTTATTTATTTGAACAACAGGGTTAGAGTGAGAAGGAGATGGAATCTCCTGTTGATAGTTCATTCCCCAGATGACCACATTGGTTGTGCCGGGCCAGGTGGAAGCCGAGTCTCCCTTGTGGTTGCAGGAGCTCAGGAACTTCAGCCATCTGCCGCTGCTTTTGCCCGAGCGTTAGCAGGGAGCTGGTCAGCAGTGGAGCAGCAGGTCTGGAGCCGCCCCCATGTGGGCAGATGTTGTCGTTCCAGGCAGCCGCTTAACCTGTTGCACCAAAACACCAACCCTACCTTTTGTTCTTAAAGCTTTTGGGGCAGCCGGGATGTATTTTTTGACCAAAACAATGACGTATGTAATAGTTATGTTTCAATGCTAGCCTGCCAGCAACTTGTTCATTAAGTCATAGACCTAGTATTTTCCGGCCTCGTGGCTCAACAACCTTTTCATGAGTGTGGAATGTTTCTGGTAAGCCCACTCTGGGTGTGAGAGCAGTGCAGTCCCAAGCCCCTGCTGATTCAGGCTTTCAGTGGGGTTGGTAGGGAGAATATTGGGAGGTTTTGGCAGTAGATGGTACAGTGTAATAGAGTTATTTTATACCAAACTGCCTTTTTTTCTAATTTTGCTAGTTTAATTTGATCATTTCACTTTGGCAGGTAATGAAACATTTGGAAGCAAATAATCCTTCCATCATTTTTGTGGCTTTCTAAATAGTTTATAAAGTAGTAATTATTCAGTTGTCCTAGATTTTTTTTAGAGCATTTAGAGCTTAATATGATTACTATCATATTTCCCTTTCCGGTTTTTGGAAGATGTTATCTTGCTTTTATTACATTTTTTTTTCTCTTAATTTATTGTTCTTGAGACACAGAAAAACAGACACAGATAGAACAGTATATTGATACTGAGGCCTTGTTGGGGCTTTTAACTGACCGGATCTTTACTCTGTTAGACCTATCTTCAGACCATAGAAGGTCTCCCCAAGAGGCCACTGAACTTATCTGGACAATAAGACGCTGAACTTTATGCTAGGCATGTGTTTGCAAGCAATGAATCTCAACTGAACTTGAACTATGGTTATGCAACAAGGTGGAGGAATCCACCATGGGGGGAGGGGTATGGGAGGGGTGGGGGGAATCCCCAGCGCCTATAAAACTGTACTACATAATACAATGTAAGCAACAATAAAAAAAAAAAAAAAAAAGAACAAGGGCTCCCATGTGCTGGCTCCTTCTGAAATGGCCGGAGTGGCCAGGGCTGGACCAGTTCCAGATTCAAAACTGGGAAGCAGGAACGTGATCCAGGTGATGCCGTGCCTGGAACCGTGATAACTCATGGGCTCCACTGCCTGGGCCCAACGCCTGCTCCTAGTGTCACTTTTGAAGTGCAAATAATTAGTAATGACTTAGTTTTGAAACAGTTTTCTAAAAATATTTAAAATGGTATATTTTACTGTAATGTGATAATTCAGCACTGCATCCAGTAACAGCAGTGAAGATTACTAGTATTTTTCTATAACCGCTATGAATGGTTGCGTGCTTGCATTTGACTTTGTAAGAAATTGTCCTCAGTCCATGAAGATTCCTGGCCAAATAGTGAAGATTTAATGTATGCTGACAAAGTAAATGATGACAGGCTAGTAATTGAGTTGCATTAGAAACTGTTGAGAAGTAAGAGGTAGGATGGCAGAGTGGCCAGCTTGCTGAAAAGGAAAACATTTAATTTTGGTATTTTCTGAGGGAATTAATGTACTTGCTACTTCTTTTTTTTCTTTCTTAATATGATTCAGTGCTTTAAAGATGTTTTGGAGGAGAGGGGTTTGGCAACAGCAAAATTTTCCTTCTGTTCTCTTTCTGTATGTTGTTATGTTAACAACACTTAACCTAAGAAAAATGTGCTTAATTTTGCTTTTTGCAGAGTGGCCTCTACTTTGACCAGAGAACCTATAGCAGCCTTAGGCATAGCAAACCCACTTCTGCCTACTACACTCGGGTTTGTCTCAAGTTTCTTGGTGTTGTGTGTTTTATCTGCCTTTCACACACCTCTAATCCCCTACTTTGCATTTTTACTAGTAATATCTAACCTGTGAGTGTGTATGTATTAGTTTTGTAACTTAATTCACATGTTCTGAGTGTGTGTTTAAACAGTGACAACCACCAAATCATGTTGATATGAATATTTAAAACATTTTTCAGTGCACGAATTTCAAGCATAAATTTGAAGAATTGTAGAGTGAGTGGTATATGCCTACTTGGTGCATAATTTATTTTATTTTGCTTATCAGACAAATATCTTTCCATCAGTCTTCATTTTTGGATGCATTTCAGTTTATGCTGGTGATATCAATTCATTTCTTGGTGTATTTCATGGATATATTTCATCAGTATATGAAAAGCCTTTTAAAAGAGCTTACCTGTGAGAATCTGTAAATGGGATAAGAAGAATGACTCTTTGTTGACTGTTGGAATCTCTTATTCTTTTCAAGACATTTGAAACATTATTTAGTTGTGTATTAAATGTGTGGGACACAATGCATTTGAATTAATTCAGTTTATAAGACCGGCACACACAACTGTAATATTTGTTTTTTCATGTCTGATTAGGTGAAAAAAACCCTGAAAATTGTATCCTCAGATACATTTTTTTTAATGTTGAGTCCTTTTAGTGTATGAATCCGTTGTCATTAGTACAACTTATCTGATGAAATGAATACACTTTGTCCATAGCATATTTTGAAATACAGGTTTTCTGATCTATTTAGGGATGAATGCTTGTAGCTGTAACTCAGATCTTACTTAGCTAGGTGCCAATAGCTGGTCTGAGCCCCCTGGAGTCAGTGCTGAAATCACCCAAAATCCCGCAGGAGCTTGCGGGCACTGGACGTGCCCATCACTTTCCACACTCCTTGTTCCATTTTTCTTTAATGTCTTCTTAGATTTCTGTCCCATATCGGAACATTAATGTTAACAAACCAGAAAGACAGAAATGTGTTTATAAAAGACTATTCCAAGTATTCTTTTTGTTAACCCTTGCAGATGATATTCTAAAGGGTTTCTAATGACATAGTTTTTTCTTACTTTGCTTCTAAACCATGTTAAATATTCAGGAATTGCTGATGAATTGTGTAGTGTGAAGTGGTGAACTAAAAGCTTCTGTCCTTATGATAGTGATGCCAGTTTTTTGTCTTACCTGTCTCTTTCTTTGCAGTCTTCCTCTTTGTCCAGTGACCCCCTGGCAACATCTAGAAGTAACAGGGTTAGTACTTTGTAAGGAATGTCTTGCCTCCAGAGCTCCCAGCAGCTTTTCCTAGGTTTAATGAAATGTTTTTGTCATAGGCCTCCCTTATTGCAAACTCTGGTCTGCTGAGAAGTGCCAGCCTGGTTGGTATTTTCATCTTCCAGTGTGTACACTGCTGGTGGGCCATTGCTGTCATGCTAGTTCTTTGGCTTAGCAGCTTTCCTGTTAGTCAGAAGCCCAAGGTACTGCAGAATGTGCTTCCTGTGCTTCGAGTACAGGGCTTAGGGCATTAAAGAGAAGCATGTTCTCTTCACAAAGGTGGGTGCTGGCTGCTAACTCGCATTACAAGCATTTTGCCATAGAGAAGATAGATGTGCAGGAGTGTGCTCCCTCCCACACGTCCCATGGCAGCAATGTCATGTTTGTTGGGGGGGGGGGACAGCTATGACTTTGATGGCCATATTCATACTAGGGTCTGATACAGCAAGCCGGCTAGAAAAGCAGAAGTAATGCTCGGTGCAGTGTGTGACTTGGGAGCTGGTTGCCTTCAGCTTTGTTGTGGTGTAGCCTAGGAGACTGCAGTCTTGTAATTTAATATAGTGATTTGCAAATGCTCAGTTTCCTTTTCTGCCTTAATATCTCTTTGGGGGATAATAAATTCATAAATGTTGCTTCTAGTTTTGTAACATGATGGCTTCTGAAATGTGAGTTTGAAGTAGTACTGACACTGATACAGCAAGTTGTATATGAAATGAGGGTTACCACCTGTAGAGTCTTTATATTGAGAAAGTGGACACTGTACCATTCCTCAAAACACTTTTTCTGGTGGGGGATGTGGGGAAACTGAATACTGCTAAACAATTAGGATATTTTCAAAATAACTTTGATGCCAAATAGGAAAATGGTGGTTTTTTTTTTTTTTTTATTCTTTAGGCATCATTATATGATGGTGGATTATATAGCCCTTATGGTTCTCGAACTGTAAGTCTGAACAGGGAGGTGGTGAAGAGTGGGGAGGAGTAGGTGGGGGGCGTTTGCTTACCAAGGAGAAGTCATTGAATGGGACCTGCAGTCACTTGATAAGCTGTGATCTGTCCATGTAAACTAGTCAGCTAGGACTCTGATTTCAAACTATGACAAAGTGTCTGCTGGAAATCATGGAGTAAGATTTGAGGGCATCTGCAGAGAAACCCCTTTTCTTATTGGTTCCTGTTGAAGTTCGGAGCAGCCTTTCATGGTACACCCTTCTCTCTCCTGTCACGGGCTGGTGGGTGTTGAAGGTAGGCACGAGGTAGTTTAGACCGGGTGATAATGGTACCCTCATCCTAGGAAGTGGGCACGTTGCAGCAGGGGTCCCTTGTTGTCCCAGCAGACAAAGGAACTGATCACTGTTGTCAAACCTTTCCTTTCCAAAACTTTGTAGCCATCTGAATACAGTTATTACTCATCCCGAGCAAGTTCAGGCCGAAGCAGTCCCGTGGTAAGCCATCTGGTCTGTGCATGCTTATGGAAACTTTGGGTTTTTGATTAACTTTTCCTCACAGAACACCGAGGCTGTGGTGTGCTTCTCTGTCTTGTGCATGTATTCAAGTGTTCCCTCGGTACACAGACACAAGCTCTAATTTGTTCTAATGAGTGGTTCCTTTATAAATTTGATATAGCATGTAATTTTTTTGTGTCATAATTGAAATTTGATCAATGTTGAGACTCAGTGCACAGACATTTGAGGTTGACAAAATTCTTAACGTACTTGCCAAAAAACTAGGATGAATTTTTTTTTTTGGTAGGAAATGGTTTTACCAAACAACAAAGCAAGAGTAGAAGTAATTGAAAATGTAAGACATTAAATGCACAACTGTGGCTCCAAGCAGCTGTTTGGTATGTTTTATATTGTAGGGCATAAAAACCTATTAAATGTGAAACTAACATCCAAGAGAGTCAAAACCTACTATGGTTCAGTTATTTGCTACTTTAAATAAATAAGTAAATAAAAAGATTATTTGACCTGTTTTTTAAAAGTCCTACTTTAAAAACGGGGGGATGGGGTGGAATTCTCTCCTTATTGTTTCAGGAGCCACTGAAACACTACAGTCACAAAGTGGGTGCTGGGGATACTGCCCTGTGCCGCCTAAGGAGGGAGGGAGGGAGGCCCAGGGCCGCAGCAGGTGCAGGATGCTCGTCACACTGGGCTGCTTATCTCCTGCTTCATCAGATGCTGGGCTCTCCTCATTTTTTTTGGTTAGTCGTCTCAACCTGTTTTCATTTCATTTTTTTGTCCCTTTTGCTCATTCTTTGTGTCTCATCCTTTGCTAGGACCCGTTTTGCCTTCCCTCACGCATTCACAGCGGAAGGTTTAGCTGATGAGGTTGCTTGTCTCCCCTTGCCACTTTTTTGCTTTCTCTCTCCTGTTGCTTTGGCCGAGCTTAACCTATTTTCTTGGGCATCACGGTGGCCAGGAGAGAGTGTGCTGGTTGCCCGTGCCTGCCATGCCTGGAGAGCCCTTTGGAAGGCTGCTGCTGCTGCCCCATCTGCCCTTGCACATACTTTAAGTCTGGAAGCAGTGTCACTAGAGGATTTGGAAGTCTTGTGTTTAACTGTCTTCACGTGAAGCAAGCTGTCTGTTCTGGGTGATAGTTCAGAGTGGGAGTTGGCTCGCCTGTGCTTTTCCATCTCCTCACTTCCTGGATTGTGCCTTTTCACCTGCTTGCCAGTGCATCTGTCAGTGAGTAGAAGGAGAAATATTCTAAGCCAACTTTGAAAAGTTGTTATATAGAAGAAAAAATTGAGGCTCTTAAAATTACCACACCTTCCGGAAATGGATTATTTTTTCAGTTTGTAGAAACAATATTAAGGAAGGTCCCAGAGTAAAAGCCTTCAGACCCCCTCATTTCTGCCATATAAATGCAACCTCTGCTCTCGTATGTGATTTGAGAGGTATTTTATGTACATCTGAGTATTCTTTATTTTGACCACAAATTGGTTCCCAGATACACTGATTCCCAGCGGTTCCTTAGAGTATCTTCCTGTATTAGTATGAAGAGTCATCAAGAAGTTCATGAAGAATGGGGATTAAGATAAAGCTTTTATGTATATTTCAGTTTTTTTGTACCACAGTAAACTTACCTTTTAGTCCCATTTTCCATGAACTCTTTGAAGCCACCTTGTACATAAAGATTTGTTTTATTCCTTCTTTAACATTAAAACATGTGATAAAGAAGCTGTGCGCACAAGGTCCCATTTAGTGCCTCTCTCCGGATTCTTTAATGGCCGTGTGCATCCCATACATTTAAAGGTCACCCCCAGGGAGCATGTTGTCAGTACTACTTCTTGGACAGTGAGACGCCTGTGTCAGAGAGCGTAGCTCATGAAGAAGGCTGTGGATTTACTTTCCCCAGTCCCCATGGCAGGGATGCTCCCGGGGGCCTGCCTTGTTACCCCAGCAGTGTCAAAGCTGGAGAAGTTACCAAGGCAGTTTTTTCTTTGTTTTATTAAAAAGAATAGCAAAGGGAGGGCAAAGTGGCGGGAGAGAGACAGAGGGATAGGTTTACCTTCCATTTGCTGTTTCACAGCCCAGAGTGCTCCACGCTGAAGCTAGGTTCTCCCAGTGCCAGCGAGCCAAGCACTGAGCCATCTCTTGCTCTGTCCCAGGTCACGCTGCTCAGGAAGCTAGCTTGCAGACAGAATAGGGACCTGAAATCACACTCCAGGAAGGGACACAGGTGTCCCAAGCAAGTGATGTCTTAACTGCTGTGTCACACCTGCCCAAGGCAGTTTCTTAGAGCTCATCAAAGGTTACTCTGTGGTATGGGATAGCAAATTAAATGGGCTTTATTTCATATAAATCTTTGACTCAGTTCGTCCTGCCATTTCCAAATGGTAGTTTTCAAAAATACTGCCCCTGTAATTAATTTAAAAAATCACATAGAGATGCTTAAGGAGATAAAAGCTTTTTTTTTTGTGACATAAGGGAATTTATCTTTAACACTGTGATAAAATTCCACTTGCCAGCTGTTGGATCTTGTAGCATGCTTAAGGTCCCAAGTGGGACAGCCCTCTACAGTCAATCGGATAAAGATGTATATTTATTTTATTTTTTGAAAATAAAATAAAAATAAAAAATAAGAAATAAAAAAGAAAAAAATGATGTGTATTTATCTTCCTGCGTGAGAGGCTTGGACAGCATTCACTCACTGGTTCACTCTTCCACTTCCCACAGTTTGGGGCCTGGCCAGCCAATGCTAGACGCTGGGAACTCGGGCAAGGCCTGCTATGGGCGTGACAGTTATATTACCTGCTCCCACAGGTTGCTCAGGTGTAGGAACCTGGAGTCAAGAGCAGAAGCAGGACTTGAAACTTGTCAAGCAATGTCTTTTAAGTTGCTAGACCTAACACCTGTGTCTGAGTGTGCATTCCTCCATCCATCAGTCCATCCATCCTTTTAAGATTTTTTTTAAAAAGCTTTATTTTTTGCAAAGTCAGATATACAGAGAGAAGGAGAGACAGAGTGGAAGATTTTCCATCCAGTGAGTCACTCCCCAAGCGGCCACAACGGCTGGAGCTGAGCCAGTCCGAAGCCAGGAGCCGGGAACTTTTTCCCAGTCTCCTACGTGGGTGCAGGGTCCCAAAGCTTTGGGTTGTGTTCGACTGCTTTCCCAGGCCACAGGCAGGGAGCTGGATGGGAAGTGGAGCTGCCGGGATTAGAACCAGCGCCCTTATGGGATCCTGGTGTGTTCTAGAGGAAGATCTCCGCCATTAGGCCACTGTACTGGTCCCAAGATTTATTTTTATTTATTTGAAAGGTTGAGTTTGGGGAGGTGGGAAGGATAAGAGGAGAGACAGACGCAGATGGCTTCAACAGCGATGGCTGGGCCAGGCAGAAGCCGGCAGGGGCCTGGAAGTGCATCCAGATCTTCTACATGGGTGGCGGAGTCTCAGGTACTTGGGCCATCAGGGTGCTGGGTTGGGAGCTGAGCAGCAGTAACTTGAGCTGCTCCTCACGTATGATGTCTGCGTCACAGGTGGAGGCTTAAGCCACTGCGCCTCGACCCTGGCCTATGATATTTTCAGTCAAGTATAGATCCTTGTTTTTGTAGACTGTCGTGATCCTGTTTCATTTGCAAGCTGAGTTCAGACGTAGCACCTTGGTGATGCCAGAATGGTTTCTCAGTGATGTCAGAATGGAGATGAGCTGCAGATCCTGAAGAGCGGGGTCTCTCCCAGAGAAGCAGGAAGCAAACTGCGCTGTGTGGGGGGGTGTCAGAGCCATCTCTGCTGTTTGCACTGGATTGCAGAAATACGAATCGCCACCCGAGTGTTCTTCCTGGTAGGAGAGTCTGTCAGTGACTTAGGTTTTTCACTTTAAGTATTCTTTAGTGTTTTCCCCATACTTAAAACATTAAGTGAATAACAAATATCAGTGGGACCTCCTGATAGAATCCTGGTGGGCCTGGGAGTTTGAAGAGTATGAAAAGCGTGAGTTTAGATTGTTTGCTCATCTCTCCCTTTCTCTTCAATTTCACTGCTCATCTCTCCCTTTCTCTTCAATTTCACTGAAATAAAAGATAGTTCTAACCTTTATGCTGCACTTTTTTATTGTTAAGATTTATTTATTTTTATTGGAAAGGCCGATTTACACAGAGAAGGAAAGAGAGAGAGATAGCTCTTCTAACCACTGGTTCACTACCCAAGTAGCCGCAACGGCTTTTTCTGTGCCAATCTGAAGCCAGGAGCTTCTTTTGGGTCTCCCACATATGTTCAGGGTCCCAAGGCTTTGGGCTGTCCTCCACTGCTTTCCCAAGCCACAAGCAGGATGGAAAATGGAGCTACCAGGACACACACTGGTCTCCAAATGGGGTGCCAAACCAGCACTTGCAAGTGGAGGATAAGCCGATTGGGCCATCCTGCCAGCACCTGTCTTATGCTTTTTAAATTTACTTAAAAGTTTTTGCTTTCTAGAAATATCTTAATTTTTAAATGACAATCTGTCCTTTCTGTTTAATGTTGCAAAGTAGATTGTGTCAATTCTGAAACTTACAAATGAAGTATGTATGCTTCTTGGAAACCTTTCCTAATGTAGGACCACTGTAAGACCTTGTTGAAATTGCATCTTTTTAAGATTGTTTACATTTAATATCTAGCTTTCCAGTGATGACGCCGTGAGCATTGTTTCTTCTGATCGTGCCAGTCACGGGCGAAGGGAAAGTGTGGTGAGCATGGTTTGCATGCAACAACATAGCACAAGTTTTTAAATAACAGCAGTGTGTGAGCGCATGAAATCTGTTACAAAGTAAAGAATTATTTCATAAAAATTGTCCTAAAATTTAGATGATTTCAGAATATAGACTTTCGATGGGCCGGGCAAACTTTCATCAAGTCGTATGGCTAATTTATTGAAAAGTTTTCGCGTTTTACTCTTTGTCGCTGTTTTATGCACATTATGCTTTTATGTGAACAGTTCACCAACAAAAAGTCTTTTAAGCAAAATGAGTGTTTTCACATTATACAAAACTTGTACCATGCATTGCAAATCATGTTATCTATTATTCTCTTTTACTCTTGTGTTTAACCAGTGTTTCTGTACACATTAAAATCTATGAATTTCTTTTTAAAAAAGGTTTATTTTTATTTGAAAGGCAGAGTTAGGAGAGAGGAAAAAAAGAGAGAGGATGAGAGAAGTATCTTGCATCTGCTTGTTCACTTCCCAAACAGCCATGAAGGCTGGAGCTGGATGGTCTCACGCCAGGAGTCAGGAGCTTCTTCCTGGTCTCCCACGTGGATGTAGGAGCCGCAGGACTTGGCTAGGCTCTGCTGCGTTCCCAGGCCATTAGCAATGAACTGGATGGGAAGAGGAGCTGCCGGGACTTGGAGAGGCACTCATATATGATGCCGGCACTGCAGGCAGAGATTTGGGATGCTATGCCACAGTGCAGGCACAATAAAATTATGAATTCTTTTATAGTGGCTAATAGCAGAATATAAGCTTCTATTCTTAATTATTTGACCAGGTAATAATTGTAGAAGTGATAAATAGCAGTGCCACAACACAAATTATATAATTTCAGATTATTTCTTCAATGAAATTTTTAGAGCGCCTGTGACATTTTTCTAATATGTAAGAGAATCCGTTTGGAAGTTAACACTGTAAAGGATGCTATGTCTATTTAAAGCTGGAACGAAGTGCCTTAACGGGCTGTAATTTAAGAAAAATAGAAGGCCTTTCCATATCAGTCTTGTTGCGGGGAGGATTGTAAACCTGCTAGTTTCAGAAGGAAAGGTAACATCAAATATTCGTAAGAATTGTTGCTACAGATTCATTTATCCGTTTATAGCAGGTGAGGGTCTCTTAACAAGTCAGGTTATGCCCCTGTGGACAGTTAGCGTGGGAGAGAACAGGCCGCAGCACCTTTAAGCGTCTCGGAGTGCCGTGACCGAAAAGGGCAAGCAAGTGTTTGACCGTAGGTCAAAACAAGCAAGCGTTTGACCATAGGTCCCCTTCTCCGTGCTAGTGAGCGTTTTTATTACAAAATCAGATATACAGAGAGGAGGAGAGACAGAGAGAAAGATCCTCCGTCCGATGATTCACTCCCCAAGTGAGCCGCAACGGCCGGTACTATGCTGATCCAAAGCCAGGAACTAGAAACCTCTTCCTGGTCTCCCACACGGGTGCAGGGTCCCAAGGCTTTAGGCCGTCTTCAACTGCCTTCCCAGGCCACAGGCAGGGAGCTGGATGGGAAATGGAGCTGCCGGGATTAGAACCGGCGCCCACATGGGATCCCGGCGCATTCAAGGTGAGGACCTTAGCCACTAGGCCACGGTGCCAGGCCCAGACCTAGTAGGTTTCCATAAAGGTTAGTCCACACAAGTCCAAGTTGTGCCATTGCTTGTGTGAATAGAAATTACTCTTGCTTGGTCTAGTTAGCCCTCAGCCACATTTCCTACCTGAAGCCTCTTGTTTCTCTGTGTGTGGACATCTGAATTCCCCCTGTTGGGGGCAGAGATTTGAAGGGGGAGATGAAGGGTCAGCTGCGGTAAGGAACAGAGGAGCACTCAGCTGTTTATCGCTGTGTTATGGAGCACCTGTTGTATTTGGGGCACTGTATTCAGTGCTGGAAATTATGAGGTACACCACACAGAGCACTTTTTAAAATTTTTTTCACTTTTTGAATTTGTGAAGCTTATATCCTTGTGGAAAACAAAGACAATAAACTAGTAAATACAAGATCGGAAGGGGCGGGATACGTGAAGAGAAAAAGCAGGTGCTAGGCAAGGACACACCCCGGTCGCAGTACCTGTGTGTGGGGGGAGGGCGGAGAGGGCTTCTCTGAGGAAGTGACCTTGGAGCTGCCACCTGCTCTGTAAGGTGGCAGCTGCTTGAAGTGGGCTTGCTGGAGCAGGACTGAAGTCCCAGGTGGGAAAGGACGACCTGTCTGTGGTTCCTCTCCTGCGTTATCTGTCCGGTGTGTCCTGGTCTTGCAGACTAGGACAGGGAGGGAATGTGGCCATCGGGTTTGGCCTGGGAAGCTTCCTGCCAGGAGTTCTGTTCCAGCGTGGATGCCTGTCGGGGTTGCTAGCTGTCATCAAGCGTGGACTGGGTGAAATACAGTCAAGGTTTTAGGGAGCTACTCTGCTGAACCGCCCCTGTTTAGAGGGAAGCAGGAAAGTTTGCGGGGCCTTGGGGAAGGAGTGAGCTCTAGCAGAGAACTGCAGTTCAGATGAATAGAGGGGCTGGTTTTGGGAAGATGTGACTTCGTTCAAATACTTCTCTCCCTCCCTCTCTTCTTGAGTTGATTGGCCGTTTTCATTTCTTCATTTCTTATCGTTTGATTCCGTGATACTTTATCTCTCCATACAATTAAGCCAACTTTTCCTTCACTGACCTCTTTCTTAACTTGAAGCATCTCATCTCTTCTTGCGGAAAGGTGTCTACGGCTGACTACTTCGGGCGCTCCCATCGCAGGGGAAGCATTGTTTCCGAGGTGGATGACGTCAGTATCCCAGATCTGACCTGCGTGAGTGGGTTGCATGGCGTGGTTATGCTGTTTCAGGCCTGTGACTAATATCTGAGAGTATGACTCTCCTACCGTTAGACTGAATTTTTGCCTTAATATTTCCAAACCACAGTGTCTTGTTGTGGAATGTGTTTTATAAAATGTTCATTAAATGCTTTATTTCCTGGAATTTTCCACTGTTTAACCCATCTGCATCTCTAACAGATATTAATGTTTACTTAGTTTTATTGTACCTGTTTATGGCTTTTTATCTTCCTTATTTTGAATCATTTTAAAACAAACTCCAAACATCTTTTTCCAATAAAAAATGATTTATTTTTATTGGAAAGGCAGATACACAGTGAGGAGGAGAGACAGAGAGGAAAATCATCTGTCACTGATTCACTCCCCAAGTGAGCACAATGGCCAGAGCTGAGCTGATCTGAAGCCAGGAGCCAGGAGCTTCTTCCGGGTCTGCCATACAGGTGCAAAGTCCCAAGGCTTTGGGCCATCCTCGACTGCTTTCCCAGGCCACAAGCAGGGAGCTGGATGGGAAGTGGAGCAGCTGGGACACGAACCGGCGCCAATATGGGATCCCTGCATATGCAAGGCGAGGAGTTAGCCATTGAGCCATAGTGCCAGACTTGAATGTGTATCTTAGTAGAATTTTTTTCAAATGTATGTAATACTTAATGCAATAAGAAAATAATTTTTAAAAATTTATTTATATAAAGGTCAGAGTTAGAGAAAGAAGATAAGAGAGAGAAATCTTTACTAGTTTATCTCTCAAATGGTTGCATACCAGGAGCTCGAGCGGGCCAAAGCCAGGAGCTTCTGGGTTTCCCTTGTGGGTTTAGGGGCCCAAGTACTTAGGGCATTCCCCTGCTGCCTTCCCTGGCACAACAGCAGAGCGCTGAATCAAATGTGGGGCACCTTACAGTTTCCCATACAGAAAGCCTGCACTGCCGACTTCACTGGCTTTGCTGTAGGCCAGAGCCAGAAAGTAATTTGTTAACACTGTCTGATATATCCAGTTTGTAGTCAGATATTCCTGTTTAGTCTGAAGAATTTGGGGGTGAGGTGGGGTGAGGGTAGACCTTTTAGTGTAGTGCATTATGCTGCCATATGGGCACCAGTGTGAGTGCCAGTTGCCACACCTCGACAACTTTTGCTGTTAGTCCATTTGGGGAGTAAGCCGACAGATAGAAGACCTCGTTCATTGTCTTTCTTTCCCTCTCTATAGCGTCGCTTTTCAGATTAAAAAAAAAAAATCTTTATAAAAGTCTTTCCTGTTTTTGTTGAGTTGGTTATGTAGGTAGACTGAAAAATGCGTAACAGGATAAGGCAAGTTAGAATGTATCATTAATTTGTAGTAAGTGAGAGTAGTAGGAACAGATTTTGTTTTATTTTTTATTTATATTTATTTATTTATTTTTACAATCTTTACATAATTAGGGTAAAAAGGTTCAAGCAGAAAAATGGGGAAGACAATTAGTTCCATATTGTTTCCTTCATATATCTGAGGTAAAAGGGGATTTTAAGGGAGAAGCCCCACCAGTCTCCCACCCGCCCCAGGCCCCCGATGTGGGGCATGCTCCAAATGTCTTGCTCAAGTGGTTTTGATAGTTCAACAGTTCCGATTTGCTGCCATTCTCGCCACTCCAAGCACGATGAGGTTGTTGAAGAATCCACTGATTTATTTGTTTTTATTGGAAAGGCAGATATACGGAGAGGAGGAGAGACAGAGGGGAAGATCTTCCATCTGATGATTCACTCCCCAAATGAGCACAATGGCCAGAGCTGATACTATCCAAAGCATGGAGCTTGGAGCCTCTTCCAGGTCTCCCACACTTGACCCTTGTGTACACCAGCAGGAACTACAGCCTAATTGGAATAACACCCAATAACCCTCACCAGGCCCTCCACTGGCGCTGGTTCTTGTGCTTGCTAATATGTGCAGCAGACTGGTCCAGTCTGTCTCACATCCCATTCAGTGTTCATAGATGTCAATGGGCATTGGTCAACCCAACTGATTCCACTATCCAGCCCATACTCATGCCAGCGGGCCATTGCCTATCTAGTCAGGCCCACCCCAGCCCTGGTTCTTATGCTCAGCAGTGAGAGTTGCAGCCCATCAGAGATGCCCACAGTTTCCATACTGGGCCCATTCCCAGTCCCGGATCTTTGATTTTCCAGGTGGTTCTGCAGGCGTGACAGGATTTACCTTAAGTACCAGCACTTGCTAGGTGATGCTGAAGAAAAGCCCAACCATCCTGCACTTAACTTTGGCTCATGCATGCACTAATGGATACTGTTGCTTAACCCAGCCTGGCTCTTCCTCAATGCAGTTCACATGCAGGCCAGTGGTATTGTAGCCCTGCCTGGCTTGGTCTGCCCCCAATCCCAGTTATCACATTCACCAGTGGGAGCAGTATTCTAGCAGGGCAGCCCATGCTGCCCCCATACTGGGCTTGCCACCCCCCAAACTTCCTCCACCCTCCCAGCATGGGTCTCGTGTGCTGGTGAGTGAGTGCTACATCCCCATCTGGCATGGCCCAACTCACATCAGCATTTGCTGGTGGATGTTGTGGCTTGGCCCACCCCAGTCTGCTCCCAGTTCCATCAAATGCTGGTGGGTGCTGCTGCCCAACCTGGCCCTACCTGTACCCCCTCCTGGTTCTCAGATCTGCCCATGGGTGTTATGAACTGACCCATTCTGGCCCGACCCCAAATCTGACCCACATGTGTGCCAACAGGTATTATAACTTGGCCTGATCTAGGATGCTCCCAGCCTGACAGAGGATTTCCCTGAGTTCCTCTATGAGGTTTCCTCCCAGTGGCAGATCTCATGCACACTGGTAGGTTCTTGACCCCGACTGACTTGGTCCACCTCTTGTCCTGGCAGGAACAGTGGTCTTGCCTGACGAGTCCACACCTATTCTGGTACTTACCCAGCTCATCTGGTCCATGCCCAGACATAACTCTCACGTTCAGCATCCTACACCCACTGTGGCTTTAAAGGAGTACCAGTGAGTGCCGGAGTATAGCCAGTCTGGTGCACCCCAGACCCAGTCCACACCCATGCCAAGGGACACTGCAGTCATGTCAGCCCTGATTGCTGCCCCCATTCTGGCCCTGACACAGTATGAACCACAGCCCAGCCAGGGTGTCCCCTTAGCTCCCCAACCAGGGATGTTCCCAGCCACAGATCTTGCACATGCCAGTGGTTGCTCTGACCCAACTTGGCATAGCCCATCTCCTGTCTTGACCTTTGTCATCAGATGCTGCAGCCTGACATGCCCTGGACTGCCCCCCAGTTCCAGCTCTCACTGGTGTGTGCTGCAACCTAGCTTTGCCCAGTCCACTCCCATCCCTGATTCATGCAAACCAGTTGGTGTGATAGCCTAGTCTGGCAGGACTCAAATCCAGCCTTGGCTTCAGATCAACACAGCCCAGCCATTGTGATCACTTGGGGAGTGAATCAACAGATGAGTGGTCGTCAGCAATGGTCGATGCTAACTAGCCCGGCTCAGGTCTCCCACGCGAGCTGGTGTATCAGTCTGACCCTTAAAGGTCCTCCAGTTTCACCTTCCAAGCTGCTTGGTCTCAGCAAGTACAGTGGCCTTGTCAATGGAAGTCCCTCAAAAGTCACACCTGTAACATGCTCCCTCAGCGGTCCTCCCTCACTCCGTCCCTCACATCTTCTTACCTCCTTCCCTGGGAAATCTACAGTACCTTCATCCCAGCCCAGTCTTCTGAAATCCATTCTTCCAGTGGGGTAGTGTGCTGGCCTCTGCCTTCCCCTTAGGATTCCAAGCTCTTGGCATGTGTGCTGGTCTGGTACCTTATCCCTTTGCCCACTCAGGTTCCTAGCCCATTCCAAGTTGCACAAGCCCAGTCCACCATAACACTGTGCCAGCATGTTAACCTAGGGCTTTCCCTTCTCCCCACTGTGCTCAGGACCAAGCACCAGGGGAAATCCCCAGGCTTTTTCTGGCTGCCTCAGAGTGATGTGCTAGGTCCCCCACACCCCATGGGCCCCCTGGCAGGCACAGTGGCTTCAGCTGCCACCCATGGCATGTGGTAGGCTCAATCCCATTTTCTTTTTTTGAGATTTTAAAAAATAGTATTGCCAAGTCTCTACATATGTACATTTGAAGAATTTAATAAAGAATTAGGATCCAGTTGGACAAACATTGAACAGATTATACTGTGAATACTTTTTATACTGTATTTTCTACACTAGTAAAACTGCTGTGTACTGTATTATACCACAGTTTCATATTCTAATAGACTAAATAGCGTTACGTTTTATTCCATTTAAAAGCCTTTTTACGATCTTCCGGTCATCATTATGAATATTAGCTTGCCATGGCAGTGTGACTATGTAGGCCTGCTGTTGAATTACCTTGTACTTTTTCTAAGTAGCTTTTTGGCTCTGGAACACCACGTATTAAACCGCGCAAGTCTCAGAATTAAGGACTCAGAAGTCTCTGGCCAAGTCGCTGCAGCCAGGGCAATTTTACTGCAGCGTGGGCATGGCCGCTCTTGGCACTGGATGTTTTGTTTTTTTTTTTTTTTTGCTGGCTTAGCAGTCCCTGAGTTTGGCGCATGAGCAGTTTGGATTGCGACACTTGGAATCTGTCAGAAGATAGTGACAACACTCACAACCAGCATTGTGATGGACTAACTAGTTCAGTGGCACCACCTCTGAAATGTAAGATTATTCGTTCTAAGGGGGTGTAACTTCTTAAGCACTGAGTCGGCTGGGGGCTAGTTTTGTGAGAAGTGGCTATGAGAAAGAATTTCAGATATACTTAAAAGCATGATTGAGTTTTGAATGCTGTTTACTTTTCTCTTGAACTCCTTAATGGAAAAGAATTGAAAAATACTCTGAGCAGCATAAGGCAGTTTACTGACATGTAGTATTTTTTCCACTTTGAATCATTCACATTAGCTACAGTTAATTTTACTGGTACGGCATGAAGTAGCAAAAAAGCCGTTTAATAAGCAATACATACTACTAAATATAGTGAATTGTGTTTATAAGCATGGAATTTGGATATTATGAATGTGAAACACCTTTACATATGAGGGAATTAAGGTGAAATGATCTTTGAAGAGCCAGAAATAAAGATATTTTATGTTTCAATAACAGATTTTAAAATCCTCTACAGATGGGACTGGAAGGTTGGGCTGGAGTCTGTGTGAGTCGGTGTATTTTCACTTAGTTCTGTGCCTGCTTGACTTTTTCCCTTGGTGGTAATGGGATAGTATATGAGTACTTAAGATTCACAAAGCCCAGGGTTAGATCTAGCCCCAGCAATTAGCAGTCACTCACTTTTTAGGAAAGACTTCACCTCTGAATCTTTTCCCTCAGTTCCAATCAGAATTTTGAACTAGACCTTGAGACTTTTACACCCCCAAAAGGTTGATCAGCAGAAGATAAGTTAACTGTTTCAGTGTGTCCAGAGAGTAGGCTTAGCTGTTAGACTGTGAAGTCTGCGTGTAAGTATCATTAGGGTGTGATTCTTCTATTCATCTATAAATTAAGTCTTTTTTTTTTTTATGTCAGATGCAATTGTTGGTGCTGGCTGAGATTACAGAAGACATAGGGAGATGACATTATAGAGATCAGACAGTTAATCATAGTTCAGGGACTGAGAAGTGTTAGAATGCGAAAAAAAATTCCTTCGTTGAGTCTTGGGACGGGAAAATAGAAGACTTGGGATGTTGTCGTTGGACTTTGTTAAGACTTGGTGCTTGGTTGCCTCTGGAGACTAGAGGCACATTTCTCAGACTCAGTTTTTACTGTTGTAATCTTTATTGGTGTGTGTGAACGCCTTACTCAAAAACAAATTCTTAATGATGTCTGGATAATTGCACTATCCATCATGGTATATTTAACATGCATTAATCTAGTGTGACCGTTTCCGGCTAACTGTACTAGTCTTGTTGATATGATCTGTGTCCTAGTAATGCATAGACACTTGGTGTTTGGTTTTATCAGACTCATCCTTTTGAGATGCTCCAGCTTTTGCGTTAACATTTACAGTACTAAAACTTGAGTTTACATATACTTGTCTTCAATGTTTGTTACATACCATGAGAAGAAAGTTTATCTAAAACTTCTGAATTTTTGAGTAAACACAGCTTGCTTGCTCTGTTTCTTCCTTAGGATAAGACTTGAAGTTCTTGACATTTTGTCTTCTGCGTCTTATCTTTTATTTTAGTTTAAGTATGTTTACTTTTAGGTTCCAAATATCATTGAGCTTGGGAGAACTCAAATAAAATCACTTCTTTTTTTCCTCCCCCTAAAATAGTCAGTGGGCTAAGCCTCATTCTTGATTTTTATCTCTGTTCTTTTCTAGTTGGATGAAAAATCTGACAAACAGTATGCTGAAAATTACACAAGGGTGAGTAAATAGATTCCTATGGGAATTAAATTCTCAATTAATCTTACTTTCTGTGCTTACTCATTATATTCCAATTGGTCTGATAGAGACCTTCATTTATTTCCTGTCCTTGACCCCTCAAAATTCCTCTGAAGTGAAATCATGTGAAGCCCTGGGAAGGGAAGAGGCGCTGCTCTCTGTTTCCTGAGCCGTTGCCTCTGCGCTTTGGGCTGCCCCTTTGATGTTCATTCCTCCTCCACTGGTCCTGAGAAGGAGCCATTGACCATTGGAAATGCAGTGCTGAAAAACTGGTTTTGTTTGTTTTAGCTTCGCGCATAAGCTATTTCATGAACAAAATAGTTCCTTTGTGTATAATAGATTTGTATTAAAATCTAGCTTCTGAAATTATTTTTAGAAAGTCAGAAAATGATGTATCAGCATTAATTTTATGTTCTGTGCAAGAAGATAGTTCTGTTTAATAGTTATAAAACCAAGTCACAAATGTAATCATGTATAATGTTAAATTTTCTGATGGCCAGAAATAAGTACACTTAAAAATAATAATGAAATAAAATCAAATAGTATATTCGATTTAACACAACCATTCAAAATATTTCAGCATATCAGTATGAATAATTATGATATGTTTAATTCTTTATAATAATCCTTCCAAATCTGGTGCTTGTATTTGATACTTAGTCTCAATTTTGACTAATTACATTTCAAGTGTGAATTACCGGTGGTGTCTACGAGACAGTAGCATGATCTCACATTCACATGGGCCTTGGGAGAAGATTCATAGTGCTGCCAGGGTTGTCAGCTCATCTGCGGTACAGCCTCTTCCTTTTCAATCTAAAAAAGATCCTCAGAAGAGGCCATTCTAAGAATAGGGAAAGCGTGTACCAGTTCTAAAGTTTCAAAACTGCTTCACAGGAATCTTTGCTTATCCAAGATTTTTAATAATATGACAGAGATAAACTTAGTAAAGTTGGATAAACAAATCCCATAAAAATGACTTCCTCCTTGGTTGTTAGGATATCAGGGTTTTGATAAGGCATTCGAGTTAGCAGCGCTGTGTTTGTCATGTCTGGGATGGTCTCTGGACATCTCTGCCATAGCCAATCTGAGTTGCCCATCTCGTTGACTTTGTTTCTTTTTTAAAGTTTATTATTTTGAAGATTTTTTTTTTAATGGAAAGGCAGCTTTATAAGAGAAGTAGAGAGAGAGAAAGATCTTCCATCTGCTGACTCACTCCCCAAGTGGCCGCAATGACTGGAGGTGAGCCAGCCAGGAGCCTCCTCTAGGTATTCCACGCAGGGTCCCAAGGCTTTGGGCCATCTTCTACTCCTCTGCTGCTTTCCCAGGCAGGGAGCTGTATGGGAAGTGGAGTAGCTGGGACACAAACCAGTGCCTATGTGGGCTGCTGGAACTTGCAGGTAGAGTATTAGCCAATGAGCCATTGCACTGGCCCCTATTTTTAATTTTTTAATGATTTGCTTATTCATTTAAAAGACAGAATGGCGTGGAGAGAAGTAGAGACCCATAGATTTTTCATCCTTTGGTTCACTTCTCTCAGATGCCTGCAATGAGCTGTGGCAGGCCAAATCCAGGAGCCAGAAGCTCCCTCTCTGAGTTTGCCTTGTAAGTAGCACAGATCTGAGCACTTAGGGCAGCTTCCGCTGTTTTCTCAAATGTGTTGGCAGGGAACTGGACTTGAAGTGGAGTGACCACAACTCAGTCATGTGCTCCTAAGCGGTGCTGATGTTGTAGGTGGCGGGCAGCTGAAACCGTGACACCACAACCCCACCTGGCATCGGTATATTCACCTGAAGCCCACGTGTGCTGCCACCATCCTGCCAGTTCTTAATTTCTACAGTAATTTCCTTGGAACACTACTAAGAAATGTCTGTGTCTTTCTCCCTAGCCTTCATCTCGAAATTCTGTGTCAGCAACAACTCCTCTGAGTGGAAACTCATCCAGGCGAGGGAGCGGGGACACCAGCAGCTTGATCGATCCAGACACCTCATTAAGTGAATTACGGGTAAGTCGCGGTCTTTCGGTTGGCTTTGGAAAAACATCCTTGATTCTTTGTAGTGTGCTGCATTTTTCACATTTAATGTGTAGAAAGAGTGAATTTTTGCAATAAGGTGTTAATCCAGTTCAGAAGTGTAACTCCAGCGTCAGAGCCAGAAAAGGGGAGATTAGATCATTCTGCCTTCTGTTTTCTTTGCTGCAGATAGTGGAGCGAGTTCTGCAAACTGACAAAAGTCCAAGAAGTTTTGTAATATATATGAAAGTAATTGTCTCAGAAGTAATTGGCTGTGTTTTAAGTGGAAAATATGTGGCTGTACAAAGAACCAGATTGTGGGAATTTAGTCTTTTGAGCCACTGGGGTATTTGCCTGCTGAAACATAGTTATCTGTATTTTGTAGTAATGAAAGTATAATAATATTTGAGTAACAGCAATCCCTGAGATAATTAAAAGTTAATATGACTCACCAGTTGTATTTCTACTCTTACGGTTTTTTTTAATTTGAAAGATGAGAACTTTAAAAAATAAACTCGAATATCTGTTTGCCAAACTTGCTGTTTGTGAATGGTAAGAGAAAGTGCATTGGATGGATTGATTGAGCATTAAATCATAGGGATTTGCATAAGTAACACACATCTGAATTTGAGGAGATGACTTACAGGAAAGGTAAACTTCTATGTCAGTGAAGCCAGGTGGTGTAATAACAGTAGTGGTAGCAGCAGCAGTAGCAGTAATAGTACTAATAGTAGTAATATACAGTAGTAGTAATAGTACTAATAGTAGTGGTATACAGTAGTAGTAATAGTGCTAATAGTAGTAGTAATAGTGCTAATAGTAGTAGTATACAGTAGTGGTAACAGTACTAGTAGTAGTACTATACAGTAGTCGTAGTATACAGTAGTAGTAGCAATGGTGCTAATAGTAGTAGTATACAGTAGTAGTAATAGTACTAGTAGTACTATACAGTAATCGTAGTATACAGTAGTAGTAGTAATAGTGCTAATAGTAGTAGTAGTAGTAGAAATGTGACTATTAAGTTAATTCAGTACCAAGAGGCAATAAAAAGGTTTTTCAGAGAAGACAAACTTTGAATTAAGGTTTGAAACCTTCAAAAAACCATAAAGTCACCCGAGCAGCAAGCCTGGTGGGAAGCAGGAGAAGGACAAGACAGGGACCGGAGAATTAGCGAGGATCCAGATCACCACAGAATTGTATGGTCGCCTGAAAATTAAATTTTGCATTGACCCTATCAATTTTTACTACCTTTATTTGAAAGGAGTGGAAAACTCATTTCTCTCATTAGTTGCAACTCTCCATTATGAACCCATTTATTTGAAGGAGAAAAGAAGGGAAGGAGGGGAGAGGGTGCTTTTCTCTGCTGTTCCCTCCTCATACCTACAACAGCCAGAATTAGGCCAGACCCAGCTGGATCTTCCACTTAGTTGCAGGAACCTGTGGTTTTGATCCATCACCTGCTGCCTCCCAGGGCTTGCTTTAGCAGGAAGCTGAAATCCAAAGTGGAGCCAGGACTTGAAGCCAGGCACTCCTGTGCGGGGTCTAAGGGATGTGAGTGTCCTGAGTGGCAGTTTCAGCAGCTGTGCTACCTGCTACCCCAACTGTGGAATGTTAAATAGGGAGTAGTACTGTCTGATTGGCATGGCTAAGGGTGACTGATCGTAGCCTGGAGGAATTAGTAAGCCGATAGGAACAGTAAGCCATCAGTTGGACAGTGAAGATGAGGTGAAGAAGTGAAGCTGAGAGGAGAAAGGAGGAGAAACTTGATGTGAAGTGAGTGTGAGAGGCTGAGCAATAGATGTAAGAATATTTGAATTTTTTCTTTCTTTTAAAATGAGGTCGGTAATTGTCTTGACTGAGTAGTTTGAGCTGGTAGAGTGAGCAGTGCCACGTTCTGGGAGACACAGGAGCATGAAGGCAGGATCTTCCATCCTCCATTCTCCATCCTTCCATTTCTTCTGTCACACGACTTAGTAGTTGTTTTCCTTCCTCAGTAGGTCCTTGGTAAATATGTACAACACTTCAGTGAGTGCAAGTCGGACAGACCTGCGAAGGGAGTATTACAGAAACGTCTGCAGTTGACTTTCACTGGTCGATACTGCCTGTAACTGCAGAGTTGTGTGTAGGTCCCGGAGACAGGAGAGATCCTAGGATGAGCTAGAGTAGGCCTGTGACACACGGTCAGGTACAAGGGAAGCAAAGGCTTCCATTTCACATGTGACCCATTTTGGTTTTTTTCAAAGATTGTAGTTACATTTGGAGCAATGGATTTTTTAAAAAAATCATTTAAATGGGGTCCTCCAGTAGAGTATGTAAATTAACATTGTACTTAAAATGTTGGTGTGTCACTTCTCTTCCTGTTTCCCAAATTGATTGCAGTCGGTAATTAAGTCACGGAGACATAACTTTATTCATGTCTGTTTATCATATTTTTAAAAATCAGTAGTTTTGCTGCTTTATTACGTCTTATATTTTAGGTTGAGCATTATGCCAGAGTTATTTGAGTGACATCGAATTTTCAGCTGTTAAAATATTATAATGCATCCAGCCTGTTAACATATACAGCCTGTTCACATGTGCCAGTGTAGCTTTCGACAGAGTTCATGCTAAAAAAATGTTCATGTCAGATTGAGTCTTCCAGACCTTTCCCTAGCCCCGCTGTCTGCTGACCTGCTCGCTCCTTCAGTGGTGTGCACTTAGTTATTTCTCTGCTTTTTAGTCTGAAATGTTCACAAGTAAGTCCCGTGTTCATTTGAATCCTTTGAGGCGAAAGATGTGTTGCTGCATGGTTTTTATACAATGGTTCATTCCTATGTCCCACAGGATATCTATGACCTTAAGGACCAGATACAGGATGTAGAAGGGAGATACATGCAGGGGCTTAAAGAACTGAAGGTATCCAGGTCGATTTTGCAGCCCAAGCATGCTCTGTATGCAAACGTTTTGGCTGTGGTGGTTTCACGAATTCTGTTAACCCTTTGCACACAACTTTACTAACAGTGTTTGTCTTTCAAGCACGTGCTTAACCTGCAATGCATAGAAAAGTTGAACTTTAAAATCTGCTCATGTTTAAATGTTTAGTTTTGCAAATAGCTAAGATACACAATACTTATGAGATAATTTTGTTTCTTCTGTCTATAGAAAAATTAAATTGGCAAACTCTTTAAAAGATACTCCACAAATATTTTTTTACTAGACCTTAAAATTGTACTAAGCTAATTGAAAAAAATATTGCACTTCATGTTTTGCCACTAAATTCAACCAGTACCAAAAGTGTGAGGAAGAAGTACCTGAAACAACTTTATTATTAACATCCTCTTGGGAGGAATGAACAAGCGTGAGGCGTATGTTTTTGTTGGATTCATTTTTCACTCTGCATCCAAAAGATGACCACATATCTAGTGCCTTAAGGGATACTTCTCTCGGGAAGGGCAGTTACCCGTTTTCAGTCTAAAGTGTGACTCAGACAATTTGTCGTACGCTGATTATAACCATTGTATCACAAATAGTTATCATGATATGTTTTACTTATGTGTCATTTTGAACTTCAAGCTTAACCTTATGAAGAAGGCCAGAGTTTGAACACTGTGTGTTCTGACCTGAATTAGAAGAACACAGTAGACCTCTGAAAATAGCAAGACATTCAAAAAGGTGACTCAGCATGGACCACACAGGCAAGGCATTCACGATCTTCCCTGGCGTAAGGTGAAGCTGCTCAGTTGCCATCGAAAACCTTAGTACAGCAGATCACGTGTGCAGGAACTCACGGTTAACACTTGGGGACCAAAAAGGATGGACGTGCTGATGTCATGCTGTTAGTTCTATGACGGTGTCAGGAAACATCGGGTGTGTTACAGAGGCAGTCACATGGCTCAGCTCTTCAGTCTTCAGCATATAACCTTTCTAAGATTTTCTAAGAATATTTAAAATGCCTTGGATTAAAAAATATACTCAGCATATTAACTAAATCTGGTCTTATTAAGGTCTTTTATATAGTGTGAGTATTGTAGCTCAGTGACTGAAGTTGTTACTTGTGGTACTTGTATCCCATATCAGAATTCATGGAATCAACTCCTGCCTCTATTTCTGATCCGACTTCCTAGTTTTATGGCTGGGAGACAGCAGCTTGTGTCCCTGCCATCTATATGAGAAACCTGGTTGGAGTTCCTGGATCCTGATCTCCTTTAACACAGCCATGGCTGTTTTCCAAATCTTAACATAGTTTTTGTGGGTTGTTGGTTTGTTTGTTTTTTTTTTTTGTAAAGATTTATTCATTTTTATTGGATAGTCAGATTTACAGAGAGGAGGAACAGAAAGATCTTCCACCCACTGGTTCACTCCTCAAGTGACTGCAATGGCTGGAGCTGAGCCAATCCAAAGCCAGGAGCCAGGTGCCTCCTCCGAGTCTCCCACACAGGTGCAAGTCCCAAAGCTTTGGGCCATTCTCTCCTTCCTGCTCTCCAAGGCCAGCAGCAGGAAGCTGGAAGGGAAGAGGAGCATGATACAAACTGGCTCCCATATGGGCCTGAGCGTGCAAGGCGAGAACTCTAACCAGTGGGCTCCTGCACTGCGCCTTTTGCTTGGGTACTTTAAAAAAGCAACTGTTCTGTTTGGAAAATAGTTTTTCAGAATTTTAAAAACATTCTTTAAAATTTGATACTCATACTCACTGCCTACTTGACCAATCAAGTTACTTGCCTCCGTGTCAGCATCTGTAAAATGGGATGGAGCTGCTGCCAGGATTGAGTTGGAGGAGGAGATAAAGAGCGTGAAAGCACTTAGTGAGGAGTGCTGGCGTTGTTACTACAGCACTAGTCACGAACCTGCCTGAATCAGTGAAGCAGAAAGTTCAACCTGGAGAAAATCCCATGTGCATATAACTGATCTATCCATGTAAACATAACGATGAGCTTCAAAGATTCATTGGGTTCCCAGACAGTTGGTTAGGCTTTCTAGTTAACTAAGCTCTGTCACATACACAATAGTGCTGATTATATGATTTACGTACCTCGTCCAAGTTGCTAAGTATTACATATTAAAATATTTGTTAAAGCAAAATAGTGGACACCGTAAGTTTTAAACTCAGACTAGAGATTGACTGCTACGTATTTTATTTTAAAAAGACATCTCTAAATGGGACACAAAATATGAGGGTCACAGAACGCCCAATTGAATTGATCTAAAGTGATCCTCACCACGACACATCATAATCGAGCTGTCTTCCTTGAACATAAAGATCCTGAAATGTGCACGAGAGAAGTTGATGAACATAAACCAGAGCCCCAGTCCGATTCACAGCTGACCTCTCAGAGGAAACTCGACAGGCCAAAAGAGAATGGAGTGAGATATATCCCAGATCCTAAAAAGAAAAAATTGTCAACCCAGAATAATATGCTCAGCAAAGTTTTCTTTTGTCCTTGAAAATGAAAGAAAATGCTCTCAAAGCAAACAAAAGCTGAAATAGATCACCTCTATTAGACCTGCACTACAAATGTTACTTAAGTTTGTCCCGTGGACAGAGAAGAATACCATCTACCAAAACCAAAGACAAATTTGGGAGAATGTCCAAGTAAAATGACAGAAGAACAAACCGAATAATGAACAGGACCAAATTACTATCTATCGATATTGACCCTGAATGTAAATGGTTTAAACTCATCAATTAAATGTCATAAATTAGTGGACCAGGTTAAAAAAAAAAACTACCTGTTACAGACAGGATACAGATTTCTCCAACAAAGATATGTAGAAAATGAAAGAATGGGATAGAATATTCCAGGCCAATGGAAAGGAAAAGTGAGGTGGTGTAGCCATTTTTATATCAGATACAATAGACTTTGATGTGAAAAGCGTTAGAAGAGATGGAGAAGGGCACCACATAATGATCAGTGGATCCATTCAGCAAGGAGAAATCACCAGAATAAATGCATACATACCAAATGCCGGAGCACCTACCTATGTGAGACAGATGTTAATCTATTTAAAGGGAGAAATAGACTCCAATACAATGACAGTGGGGCACCTTAACACCTCACTAACCTCAGGGGTCAGATTGACAAGACAGAAACTCAGCAAGGAAACAACAGAGCTCACCCATCCAATAGAATCAGTGAACTTAATTGGTATCTACAAAACCTTTCATCCTACAGATGCAGAATACACTTTTTTCATCAGTACATGGCACCTTCTCCAGGATGAGTCAGATTGTAGGCCACAAAACAAGCACCAGCAAATTCAAAACCAATTTTGAAATCATACCATGCGTCTTAAACCATCATGAAGTGAAACTGGAGACCAGCAGTCAAAATACCCAGAGGATATGCAAATACTTGGAGACTGAACAGCATGCTGCTAAATGAACAATAGAATATAGAAGAAATCAAAGAGGAAATTTAGAAATAGCTTGAAACGAATGAAGACATAACACAACATGTTGAAATTTATGGGAAACTGGCAAAGCAGTATGAAGAGGAGAGTTCATTTCAATCAGTGCTCATGTCAAGAAATTGGAAATGCTCCAAGTATAAACAGGCATCTGAAGGATCTAGAAAAAGTAATAGCAAAGCAATCCCAAGATGTGCAGGGAAAAAGACATAATCAAAATAAAGGAGGAAGCAAACCAAATAGACACCAAAAGGATGACACGTAAGACCAATGAATCTGTGCTGCCAGAGCAGTTGTTTTCTGTGGTAGCTGAGAATGGCTTGGGCGCTGAACTTCTCTCTGGATAAGTCAGTCCCCAAAGAACAAATACCATATATGCTTTCAATTTTCTGTATGCTTTCATTGTTACTGTTCACTAAATAAAGGATTGAACAAACAGCAAGTAGAAGACCCATTCAGTTTCAGTTTAAATCTTATTATCAATTCTGCCTTCTGAAGGATTTTCAAAACTGTTAATTTTTGTTGAGGCCTAATTTATACATCATAAAAATTTACCTTTTAAGATATGGGATTTGGGCCCAGCGCAGGAGCCTAGCAGCTAAAGTCCTTGCCTTGCTCATGTCGGGATCCCGTATGGGAACCGGTTCTAAAACTGGTGACCCCACTTCCCATCCAGCTCCCTGCCTGTGGCCTGGAAAAGCAGGCAAGGGTGGCCCACATCCTTGGGACCCTGCACCTGCATGGGAGACCCAAAAGAGAACCAGGCTTCTGACCTCAGATTGGTGCAGCTCCAGCTGTTGTGGCTGCTTGTGGTGCAAAGATCTTCCTCTCTGTCTCTCCTCCTCTCTGTATATCTGACTTTCCAATAAAAATAAATAAATCTTAAAAAAAATAAAGATACAGGATTCAGTGTTTTTAGCATATTCCAGGAGTTATGAAACTTATGTTATGGAACCACAGTACAAAAAACCACACCAAAAAGAAACTCGGCCGTCATTGGCAGTCTTTCCCAGCCCTCCTCACAACTCCCATCTCCAGCTGGGCAGCTTCTTTCTTTGTTACTGAAGAGTTGTGCATTCTGAATATTTCCTATAAATAGAATTATATAGTATGTTGCCTGATGTAATGGCTTTTCGTTGAACATAACGTTTTCAAGATGCACCGTGTTGCAACATGTGTTAGTCATTTGTTTTTGGTGTGTGTGTGTGTAAGTGATCGGACTGTATTTTATTATAGATTTACTGCACCATGTTATTTATTTGTCAGCTTATGGGCATTAGACTAGTATTACTTTTGTGGCATAGACGTGACATTTGATTTCTTTTGAGTGTGTTGCTTGAATAGAATTGCTGGCTCATATGGTAACTTTGTTTAAATTCATATTTTTGGAAACTAATTTGCAAAGTAGTTATATCATTTTATATTTCAACCAATTAATGTATGTATTTTTTTTACATCCTCATTTAGAACTTATAGATAGCCACGTTAATGGTTGTGACGTCATTCTGACTGTGCTTTCAATGTGCATTTCCCTGATGAGTAACAAAGTTGAATGTGTTTTCATGTGCCACTTTTTCATTTGTGAATCTGCTTTAGAAAAATCCCTGTCCATTTTTGAGTTGTATTTCTTCTATTGAGTTTGAAGAGTTCTTTATATTCTCTAGATACACTTTTAAATCCGATACAAGATTTGCACGTTTTTATTCTGTTGTCTGGGCTATATGTTTGTAGTGATAATTTCATTAAGTTTTAGATTTTGATGAAATCTGTGTTCTAAGAAACTAGTGCCTACTTAGAGATCTTGAAAACTTAGTCCTACATCTTCCTCAGAGTTCTGTTGTTATACAGTCTGCATTTGGATCTGTGGTCCATACGTGAGGTAGCAGCCAAAGGTTCTGTGTTGTGTGTGAGTGCAACAGCGTCCTTTATTCTCCCATAGGCAGACACCCTGGTAGAAATTAACTGATTGGAAATGTAAGGGATCCGACTCTGTTATTTTTCATTGATCTTGGCTTTTTGTCCATTTCTATCAGTATTCTAATAAATGTATTCCCAGGAGTAATTTTTTTTTGTGAAGCATTTTTTTTGCTTGTTAGCTTTGGATAGAGTGTTATTTAACAACTTAGGCATAGTTATTTAAAAATAACATATAGTAACTGGAATAAGCTAAAAGAGCTGTGAATGTAAAGCTTTGGTCACAGAAGATTTTAGGAATTCACTGGTAGCTCTTGTTTAATACAGGGTTTGTATTGCTTACTCATTGAAAACTAAGATTTGAATAATTAGCATTATTATGCATTACAAGAAAGACTGAACATGAATTTCCGAGAAGTAACCAAATTCACCAAGTGTCAATATTCAAAAATAAGTGTGATGTTTCCTTCTGTAAAGAGACTCTGTAAGTGTTGGATCTTTGCACTCTGAACACCAATTTTTTGTTAAAAGCAGTAACATTCCTGAAAATATTGGGGATTTTTCATTCAGTGACCTTTACATGTTGTCTCTGTGCTTTCCTTGTGTTAGAGGCTTTGTCTGCTGCTTGGTTTGGTTTTCTCGAGGCAGAGTGCACAAGGAAGCTTGGACAGTTCCCTTCGGCTTGGCTGTCGTCCTGTTCCATGTGCATGTTACTAAACAGACTGGCACACACTGCTTGTATCTTATAAAAGTGCACCTTGAATGCTTGCACCGGAGCTGTAACTTCCTTTTGTAGTGTCTATGCAATGAATGTGTTTGAGACATCAGCCTGATTGAGTTTGACTCTCCCCTAGGAGTCTTTGTCTGAAGTGGAAGAGAAATACAAGAAAGCCATGGTTTCCAATGCACAGTTAGACAACGAGAAGAACAATTTGATCTACCAGGTAGACACCCTCAAGGATGTTATTGAAGAGCAGGAGGAACAAATGGCAGAATTTTACAGAGAAAACGAAGAAAAATCAAAGGTAATTGCCCACCTTGTATCGCACCTTTCTTTGGGTTGGAAGATAGATAGCATTCTGCCCCTTAAACCGTGGCAGGTTCTTGAGCGTGACATTTCAGGCAAAATTGGATGGTTGAGGAGAAGGTTACCATCCTTGTTAGGTGTCTGCAAATGGAAAGTAGGTGAGATTTTATCTGTGTATCTCTTAATTGGGACAATTCCAGTGAATTACCTACTGTTTCTTGCTGTACGTGACCAGAAACCAACCACCCCCCCCCCCCCGCAAAGATCCAGAGGCTCAGTGAGATGGGTCATTTTTTTTCTATGAACTTCTTAAGTGGTCCAAGAAAACCCCTAAGTTTTTCAAAGCAAGCAGAGTGGAAACAAATGTCTAGTTTGTTCTGAAGTTTGTGAGTTGCATCGTCAAGGTGTACAGTTACACAATGAATGCCAATTCTTGAAGCTCTGAGTGGCTGTTTGACAACTGTAGTCAAGTGGGTTATCTTCAAAGCTTACTGGACTGAAGCTTCTTGGAAAAGTATTGGTGTTAGGGCTTGGCATGGTAACCTCGTGGCTAAATCCTGGCATTGCATGTGCCAGGATCCCATACGGGAACCGTCCCAGTTGCTCCACTTCCCCTCTGGTTCCCTGCCTGTGACCTGGAAAGCAATTGAGGATGACCCAAAGCCTTGGGACTCTGCATCTGTGCGGGAGACCCAGAAGAAGCTCCTGTCTCTTGGCTTCAGATTAGTTCAGTTCTGGCTGTTGCGACCATTTCAGGATTGAATCATTGGATGGAAGATTCTGTGTGTCTGACTTTCCAATTAAAAAAAAAAAGTAAATATCATTTAAAAAGTGGTAGCTTGAAAATTAATTACATTTAAAATAAGCAGGTTCAAGTGTAATTACACTTTGTAATTACTTGATTGCTCCATCAAGCTTCTTTTGGTTTATCAATTCCTTTCCATCTCTTTCCCTCTTTGTAGTTTATATTGTTGAAACTCTGAAACTCTGCTGTCTCAGTCCCTGGAGTGTTTTACTATGTCACTTTTCCCTCTGCAGTTCCCATAGATAGCTGTTGAGTAGACCCTTCCGTTCTAGAACTGAAGCAAATATAACTTTTTTTTCCTGCAAGTCTCTGTCATAGATGACATGGTTATTTCACAGATTGTGCTGCTGTCTCTCTGTGATGCCGCACCCCTCAAGTGAGATGCTCTGATTTCGTTATTATCAATTAATGTTTCTATCCAACTTACTCTAAAACAGCTTGAGACCTCATATGCCATATATACCTTTCAAAACCCATTTAATGGAAAATAAAAAATAGTAATTTTTTCATCTGTGAATTGGCATTTTTCTTTTTTTTTAAGATTTATTTATTTATTGGGAAGTCAGAAATACAGAGAGAAGGAAAGACAGAGAGGAAGATCTTCCGTCTGATGATTGACTCCCCAAGTGAGCGCAACGACCGATGCTATGCCGATCCGAAGCCAGGATCCAGGACTCCTTCCGGGTATTCCACATGGGTACAGAGTCCCAAAGCTTTGGGCCATCCTCAACTGCTTTCCCAGGCCACAAGCAGTGAGCTGGATGGAAAGTGGAGCTGCCGGGATTAGAACTGGCACCCATGTGGGATCCCGGGCGTTCAAGGCGAGGACTTTAGCCACTAGGCCACACCGTTGGGCCCCGAATTGGCATTTTTCATCCATTTTCAAGAACAACTGAACATAGCCAGCATTTGTGCATTCTGAAAGTAAAATACTGAGACATCTGACTAAGTAATGTGTGTTTTTTTGTAGTTTCCCATATCTGGTAGGGAGCATATTTTAATTTTTAGTTTTTTTAACATATTTGTATATATGTGCAAACAATCACTGTAGCCACTTTGAAAACATTTCCATTACTTCAGAAAGAGACCAAGTGCACCTTATCTGTTGTATCCCCATCTTGTACTCCCCCCTCATCCCTTAAATAATCTGAGATTGCCTTCTCGTAGACTTTTCTATGAACGGAATCGTGTGCCACTCAGTCCTCGCCAACACTTGTTATTATCTGACATTTTCATCCAGCCATCCTAGAGGATGTGGTTTTGATTTGCTTTTCTCCCATGACTAATGGGCCTTACTATTTGCATATATTTCTTAGAGAAGTGACTTTCCAGAACCTTTGAGCATTCTTAAGTTGATTTATTTACCTTTTGTTGAATTGTAAACTTGTTTTATCTGTTCAGATACAGGTCTCTTATCAGACACATGATTTGTAAACATTCTATCCCATACTATGAGTCGTCCGTCAGTTTATTCTGCTTTACCTGTGAAGTCAGTCTTGAAGAAGAAAGCATCCTTGTGTCACTTACATGGGGAGGGTGAGATTATAGCTTGATAATTTTTTTGCCCTTAGTTATGAATTTTCCAAAATTAAGCACTGATTAGTATGCTAGGATAGTGACCAACTACATGTTTTCCTTTCCTCATAAATTCGTAAAGCAATTACTGGCTTACTGATGTGCTCACCCAAAGCCCTCATTAGCAGTCATTGGGCCAGCACTGGGCCAAGCCAGAGTCAGAGATCAAGAACACAGCCTGCGTGTGCCACCAGAGCAGAGGGACTCACAGACGGTACCATCACCTGCAACTTCCATGCTACATGCTGGCTGGAAGCTGGACTCAGGCAGGGATGATCCTCAAACGTAGGCCCTCCAGAATGATGTGGGCTTGTCAGTTGAAGTCTTCACTGCTGTACAAAATGATATGCCCGTAAATATATCAAGTCATAGACTCAAGTCTTTGATGCTTTCAGACATTGCAGCTTTTGTAAAATCCTTTTCATGTCTATTTTGTCCCACTCTTGGAATTTGGGGGTTGGTTCCCAGGTATTTTAGGTAAGACTGCTTTCTGGCGAGATTTTTCTGGTCATTTGTTGAGGAGCCCCCGTTCTCTTGTAGTGTGGGGCAGTGGAGTTGCTGGGAAAGCTCACTGCCACCCATGTGGCCACGCTGTCTCTAGCCCCGTCAGTGGTTCTGGCTGGGAACTAGGTGTGTGGAAGGTTGTTCTGTTTTTGCATGTTGTTTTAAGTGACATAGTGTGTGTTCCTACGTGTATTTGCAGTTCATAGTGGGGACTCCAGGCATTTTACTCAGCCTCTTCAAGACTTTACTTCTCTTTTCCTCCTCACATTACAGTTTCTGGTTCTTAAAATCACTGAAGATGGTAGTAATTACGTGATATGTGATTTTCATTGCTTTATTTTATATTGCCCAAAATAGCAATACCAACATTAACATCCACATTACAATTACTGAAAATAGTTAAATGCTTGTTTTGCTTGGCCGCTATTCTTGCTGCTGGGCTATGTATGGCCAAACCATTGTTTTTAAGTTACTTGAAGCATTTTCTTTCTGTGCTGATGTTACCAACCGACTGTATAGTTAGGATCATTGCATTTTATGTTCAGTATTTAGAAATTGCCTTAAAGTTTTGAAAATTTTTATTTTTAACGTGATAAAAGTATGTATATGAGGTTTACCTTCTTAAGCAATGTGAAGGGCACATTTCGGTGGTGATCCGTGTGCTCGCATTGTTTCTGCACGATGTTTCCAGAACATTTTCATCTCACGGAGCCAGTGCTTCTACCCTGGGTGGCAGTCTCCTGTTTCTGCCTCGCCCAGGCTCTGACAGCCACCGTCCCACTTTGTGTCTCTGTGGATGTGACCGCTCCGAGCACCTTGGGATCATGTTTGTCCTCGTGTAGCTTGGTTCTTTCACTAAGATGCGTGCGTGTCGTGTGACAGCAGTTCCTTCCTTTTCAAGAGTGAATGATGTTCCACTGCGTCTCCTCCATTGTACCCAGCCATCTGTTGAAGGACACTTCGGTTGCTTCCACTAGGAACTGCCTTTTGAATTTAACTGTGTCTTATAATATTCTGCAATGGTGTTGTAGTTTTTAGTCAAATGAACAGAATTCTATTTAGCGATGTTAATTCTGTTCATGCCTATTTCTACCTTCGTTCAGTGAATCTATTTGATGGTTTATCTTTTCATTTTATGAAATCTAGGAAGTTGTATGTATATGTTTGCATATATATATATATATATATATGTATATATATATATATATATACATAAGAGAGAGAAAGAAATAGAGCCCTTAAAATGGACATTTTAAGGTGGACATTTGATGCAGTGCTTAAGTCTCCACTTGGGGTGTTGCTCCCCGTGTCTCAGTGTCTGGGTCCAAGACCTGGCTCAGCTCCCAGGCCCAGCTTCTCGGTAAGCCCAGGTAACCCCTGGCAGAGAAGCAGCTGGTAGTCGCTCAGGGAGCTAGCTTCCTGTCTTCCTTTGCCAGGGGTCTGGATTAAATTCCTCCTCCTGGACTCAGCCTGGTCTAACCCTAGCTGTTGCAGAATTCAGGTGGTAAACATCACACAAGAGATCTTTTCTTTCTCTCTGCTTTTAAAAATAGACTTAAAAATACACAAATATCTGTTCAAAAAAAAAAGCATACATATTTGTATCCATCCTTATACCGAAAATGGTCCTATAGCATGAATGTTTCTTGATTTGATCACTTTGTGCTTATGGTATAGACAAATCTTCCCCATTCTTTTTCACTCCTGTGAAAACGCAGACTCAACATCTCTAATCTGAAAATTCAAATTCTGAACACGCCTGTGACTTGAAACACTTCTAGTCTTGAGCATTCTGGGTCAGGAAGCTCGGCCTCTCTTAGCTCCTGTCAGTGGACACTGCCGTTGTCTGTGGTACTTACTGCTAAGGTTAATCCTGTAGAAATAACGGATTGTCTAGAGGGGATTTGTTTTTGCTTTGTATTTTTATCAGTGGTGATAAGGTGTCATGGCAATGTAAGTGCGGGGTTGGAAGGTGAGTTGTTTTACAAGATATTACCAAATTTTCTTTGGTAAGAATTATACTGTTTTGCTTTCCCTGTAGTATTTCTCCTGAAGATGTTGTCAAAGTTTTGTATTTTTATGGGTAATTTTTTTGGTGAAGAATATAGTTTTGGTGTATATTTCTCTTGATTTGAGCATTTTTTTTCTACATTCTGAGCCCTTTCTGTTCCGCTGTTTTCTATAAAGCTAGGGTTGTTTTAGAGGTTTTCTATATATGCAGAGAGTAACCCTTTGTGATAGCTTGAGTTTGTTTTTGTTTTTTGCTGTTATTTGTCTTTTTACTTTGTTTGTGTTGCCTTTTGCCGTTCAAAATCTAAATGTTTGCCTCGTCCAGCCTGTAGCCCCTTTCCCTTACTGCCTATGGAATTTTCCATCATTTTCTACCAACATTTCCCCAGCTCTTTGGTGATTTACCCTCTTTTCAAGTACCTGTGTGGTTTGTTCCCCTCTGCGTTGTCTGTCTTGTCTTCCCCAAATAAGTTAAAAAGTACAAAATTTTGGAGCATTTCATGGACTGCACAGCTGCTAAGTTATGTGAATCAGCTGCCGTTTGTGTCCCCGGAGGTTATAGTTAGCCTTTATGTTGATTTGTGTGTGTTCAGGTTTGCAGTATGCTGTGACCTTTGTAAACAATGCCATTTGTTTATTAACAGGAGTTAGAAAGGCAGAAACACATGTGCAGTGTGTTACAGCACAAGATGGATGAGCTGAAAGAAGGCCTTCGGCAGAGAGATGAGCTGATTGAGGTATGTGCGTGGGCTGGGAAAGTCATGTCGCACAAAGTGAGTTGAATGGAAGAAGGGATCTATATTGGGAAGTGGACAGAATTAAAATGCTACAGTTTCTTTCCTCACATTTGGCTGTACCCTAAAATTATCTAAACATTAAACGTAAAAAGCTCTATTAAGCATCTATTTTTGTGAACCATGTAGACGTTTTCTCCTTTAATAGCAGAGATTTTTTTTTAAGTGCCATTTTTTCTAAGCTATTTTAGGAAACCGTCAAAAGTAAAAAATTATAGAATAGCATTATCCTTTTGAATGTAGTGAATACAGTCTTTGGGGACATGATTCTAGACAAACATTTTCACTCGGATAACTTTGTGAGGTAACTCAGGGAACATGAAATTGTCAAGACACCTGCCTCGTGACACCGCAGTGAAGGCTGGCATGGGGGCGGCGGTCCAGGCCCCTTCTCTCACAGGATCTCCTGGTCCCGCTTGTTGCCCACTTTAGAGCGGGAAGTATTTAGCTACCAAGCACTTTGCATTCATCTTCCTCATTGGCCTACTGCTTTGCATGCATTTCTGTTGTCTAAATGTGGTTCTTCCTCTTAAGGTGGTTGCTTTTTAGTAAACTTGTCAGTCGTTTTTAGTAAACTTGTCACCACGTTTTTCCAGGCGTGGTGGTCCAAGCCAACTACTGCCAATGCAGAGTGGCCACCTGCCGGTCTGTCAGGACGGCCTCTCCTGGTGGTCGGCAGGAGCAGCTCCCCCGCCACTTGCCCGCCCTGCTGGCTGCTGTGTCCCAGCCTGCTGCCTTGCTGTCTCCTGCTCTTTCTCACCCCGTCTCCTGCCTGTAAATGCCTTTGAAAGCCTGTTTAGTTGAAAATAAGAAATGGTAACTTTTTCATCTGTGGCGTGGCATTTTTCAGCATTTTCAAGAACAACTGAGCAAAACCAGCATTTGTGGATTCTGAAAGTAAAATACTGAGACATCCGACTAAGTATTGTGTGTGTTTTCGTAGTTTGCCATATATGGTCGGAAGCATGTTATCCAAATTTGGTGTCCTGTGAATGTTTAAAAATAATGTGAAAGCTTCTCCCTTTTTGCTCGTGTCAGAGTATCCTGTTTGTTATTTTTTTTAATTAAGTTATTACTTTTCCCCTTCAAAAGAATTACACCTGCTTTGGGTGCTGCTTTTGCCACTCAGCAGGTTAAGGTTGGATACGTGTTGCGGCTTTTAGTTGGTAATTGCATTTATTAGAGTTGTGATGCTTGCTCAACAATGCACAAGAAGAAACCTGTTACATTCAAGAGGTGTTATTGCCTAATCTGGAACGTTCTCTAAGAATTTCTAATTGTTAAATTCCAATGCCTATAAAAATTAATTTTTTCCCTCGAAAGTCTATAGTGTCTTGCTGTTATAGATTTTGGTAGCAGAATTTCAAACGGCTCAGTCTGTTCCTGTAGTTTTTAATTTTGTTAAAATAAAACTCAAACTGTTTATTCTGTAATAAGGGATCATTTTGTCATAAGCAAACCTCAGTTTCCCTGTCGAAAAATGTAAGTTGTTCCAAGTTTGGGGAAAAAAATGCAGTTATCAAAGAGGAATACACGTGGAGCTGCCACGTGGCTGCGGCTGGGAGCGCCATCCCAGGTCCCCGCTGACCCCTAGCAGCGAGCCCGGGAGAGCGGTGCTGCCCCCACTCAGTGCCAGCTCTCCTGTGAATGCCCCACTCTTGAATTTCCTGCTCAACCCAGACTTTCTGTTCATGTTCCTTGTAAGAGTCCGCTTTGTTCTGTTTTCCCTCCCTTTTCCTTTCTGCCCTTTTATTATGTCTCTTCCCTCTTCCTCTGCAGGAGAAGCAGCGCATGCAGCACAAAATTGACACCATGACAAAAGAGGTGTTTGATCTCCAGGAGACACTTCTTTGGAAAGATAAAAAAATTGGGGTAGGAGATGAAATTGGGTTTGGTTAGAAACACGCTGATTAAGGCTAGAACAGTTCAATTTAATTAAGAGATTCCCAAAATAGTTTTTTATTCTTGTACCGAAAGGAGACTTCCATGGGAAAATCTGTCCCCGTGCCTTAGGGCGCGGTTCCTTGCAGCTGACTCCGGCCTCAAGCCTGCCTTCAGGGAATTTAAAGGCAGTTTCTTTATTCCCCTAGAGCTGCTATTTAGAAGCGGACACAGGCATTTAATTCAAATTCCATGGGTAATTTGATATTCATATGTTGCAAGAAGTTGGATAAGAAGCAAGAAGATAGAGTAGGAGTGAGGGAAAAGTTTGAATAAAATAGGAAGAGATTAAAATTAGTTTAATTATTGAAGTGGATAGGAATGTAAGGCTTGCTCCAGTTGCCAAATGATGACGCCATCTCTAATTATAACCTTTGAGCTCCCCCCCCATCTGGGGCCTAGATAAGAAAAAAAAAAAAAGCTTGCGTTGCTTTTTGCTGAGCTCTGCTGATACGCTCTGAGAAATTCCCCTTCTCACTCCCCCTGCCCCCATGCATCTCATGTGGCCTTTGACTGGCCTGAGCTCTCTGATCTACACTGGGAGTGCCTCACTTAGAGTGTCCGAAGACCTCCCTTGTCGAGAAAGGCTGTGTGAAGGAAACAGAACATGTGGGGAAAGTCTTGTTCTGCCAAGATCCCCACAAGCCCCTGAGACATGGCTGCTTGCGGACCCTCTGGGTCGTTCCCGTCCTCGTCAGGGGCTTTGTACATCCCAGCCAGAGGATCGCGGTGTCCAGCCCTGCTCAGCACTCTGAGCGCTCAGTCCCATTTATACAATGGAAAATTCTGGGAGCTCCTGATTTACAGAGCTAAAGTGACTTTGTACTTACCTGCTGTTTATTGCATTTTTAAGGTCCCACTCAAACCTATAAAAATCTTCTGGGCACTAAATGACCAATGAATGCTGTTAAGCATTTTGAAATTGTAATAATAAACTACGGATTCTTTTTGTTTGAAAAAGATATGAATAAATATGTAATACCAAGTATGCAGTTTGTAAAGTTGAGCTCAGCTTAGAATAGGGAATATCTTTTAGCATGTATCTGTCATGACCCAGGACTTGTGTGCCAAGTTCATTTTCAAGGTTAGATTTGGTGACGATTTAATGAAGAAGCTTGTTCATTATTTCCAGATTGATACCAAATTTTCTTTAGTTCTTCCTTGCCTAAACCCGGTGGTCTTAGCTTTAACTCCGTTGCAATTTAAGCACCAGGGAAGGACCCATGAGTTAAAGGGGGGTGTATGAAGAACTTGTCTGTGGAGCACAGCCTAGGCTCGCTCTAAAGATGTTTGTGCCCCCGTGCAATGATATGGAGAATAAGCTGCTTTCTCAGAGTTCAGCCCACTGCGTATGTCCTCTTGTTGTCTAGATGCTATGATTTGAGGTTAGGTCAAGAACAAAGAATTACTTAGATCTCCATAAGCATGTACTTTCTACCCTAAAAAAAAATTTGCTGTAGGAACTATTGTTGCAGACAAACGCAAGGGTGGTAGTTATATGGGCAGTCAGTACCGAGCATTTCAGATTATGCAGTATTTTTGTGGGTTTCAAACTTTGTGGGAAAGTGGGCAGATTTATAGGATAGATTTTATTTTCCCATATGTAATCTTGGGAAGATGAAATTAAAAAGTTGAGAAGTAAAAAATAAAACCCCGGTGCTCTAGATGTGGGGGAAGAGGAGCAGGAAGGCCCTAGCTTGGCTGGCATTTAGTTTCAGGTTGGTTTGTTGCTTTAGAGGTCATTGGTATGCCACGGTGTTGTTTGTGGAGAGCATGTTGCGCCAGGGATCATGTACTAACTTTGCTGTGTGTGGTGATGCATGGCATGGCTACTCACCGAGGTACCCTAACCCAAAGCAGAGATAAGTGACTGCCCCTGGTTAGGAAACACTGTTCCACTTCGGTTACAAATGTTTGCTTTGTTATTGATGTGACAGAGTGTTAACATCTGTGTTAAGTGTAAAAGCTAGTGTAAAATGTTAGAATAGATCACTTATGCCCCAAACTGAAGTTATTGGCTTCCATACGCAGTGTGAATGCCAGCTGTGGAAAGGGCGTTAGGTGTTAACCTTTCGGATTGGATTAAGGAAGCAGGGACTAATCACAGGGGCTGTTTTTCCCAGCATCCTCTGGTCTGACAGGAAGGGGAACACAGCGCAGCCTCCAGGAGGCTGGATCTGAAAAACTGGGCAAGGACTGTGACCGGAAAGGACTGGAGCCAGTCTCTGGCTTTGCTGCTTAATATGCTGGTGGACAAGAATTGTGTATAAATAAAACCTCTCAATTTTGCAAACCATAGAATGAAGATATGACAGAGTGCTGCATTACTGGGATGAATGCGGGAAGGAGAAATTTTATCTGATAGACATGATACAGATGTATACGTATGTCTGTGGTGGTGCCTGCCAGCACGTGGCGCTTGCTGTCATTCCTTATTCATTTATTCCTCCTTTAGCTACAGAATAGGAGTATAATTTTTTTAAAAAAATTAATTATTCAGCTATCGGTTATTGAAACAGTTGTCCCACTTCTTTTTTTAAGATTTATTTATGTAAACAGAATTACAGAGAGAGGAAGAAAGATACAGAGGAAAAAAGAGAGCTCTTCCATCTGCTGGTTCATTCTCCAGATGAATTCAATGGCCAAGGCTGGGCCAGGCTGAAACCTTAGCGCGGCGCTTCCTTTGGGTTTTGTACTTGAGTTCAGGGGCCCAGGTGCCTGGGCCATCTCCCGTTGTTTTCCTAGGCCCGTTAGCAGAGAGCAGCAGGGAAATGAAGCAGCACCTCTATGTGATGGCGCTATTACAGGCAGTGCCACAGTGCTGGCCCTGTCCTAGTTCTTAAAAAAGATTTATTTATTTATTTATTTGAAAGGCAGAGTTACAGAGAGAGAGACGGAAAAATCTTCTGCCCGCTGGGTCACTTCTCAAATGGCCTCTATGGCCAAGCATAGGCCAATCCAAAGCCAAGGTCTAGAAACTTCTTCTTCCATATGGGTTCGGGGCCCTGGCTCTTGGGCCACTTTCTGCTACTCAGACTTGAACTGACACCCGTATGCGATGGGGTGCTGTGGATGGTGAGTTTAACTCCACACCGCAGCACCAACCCTCTCGCACCAGTCCTGTATCTGATCAGCTGAGAAAAGTCACCTGTTCTTCTCTGAAATAGATGTAAATATTAAATATGTTAAACATGTGGACAGACTTTTTCATGTAGCTCAGCCGTCAGATTCTTGTACGGACGACTTGGCATTTTAAAGGAAACCTGACATCTTACTGATTACCACAGGGCCTTGCTGCTTCTGCACTGTCCTCGCGCACAGTTGGGAGAGTCAGGTAGTACAGGGACAGTTTTGGTTTCTGGTTTTGCCTTTTTATTTAATTGTATTTTATTTATCTTTTTATTTTTTTCTGAGAGACAGAAGAGTCCAAGGGCAGTAGTGCACGCATCTGCTGGTTTGCTCCCCAAGTGCCGAGAGCCTGAGCTGTTTCCAGCTCTCCCATGTGAGTGCAGGAACTCCAGTGCTCGGCCGTCACCATCGCATCCCCGGCTGTGTGTCAGGAGTCAGGCAGAATCCAGAAGTCAGGCACTCTGACTTGGGACTTGCTCTTCTGACCAGCTCAGCCGCAGGCCCCGGTGCTGCCCGGGCAATGTGCAGATGGGCACACCGCCCTGTTGTCTTGGGCCCTTGGGGCAGTGGTTTGTACTGAGTCCACCTTGCAGCTTTGGCCCGGGAGTGCCAGTGTCACCCTGCTGGTTTTCAGATGACCAAGCTCAGGGTAAATGAAGTATGTGCCAGGACCTAAAAGCTTCTGAAATCTAGGATCTGCTGCCCTCCACGGCTGGGCTCTGTTTTGGTTTTTCTAGTTTTGAAAATGTGTCGGAAAATCAAATGAGTCTTTGTTGTATTTAAGTGAATTCACGTAAGTCGATTTTTGAGGATCCTTTTGCAGACGACGTGTTGTAAATTAAGCTGTATCTGAGTATTTTGTTCTGATTGATAATCTTACAGTCAGTACTTAATTAAAATGTCTTGCTGGTAATTTTTCTTCCTAAACTTTCCATTTTTTGAAAAAAAGAAAAAAGTATATTCTTGAGTAAATGATTTCACTTAAACATAAATGTTTTGTTGCCTGAGTGGAGCTGCCGAGGACGACAGCTGAAGGAGGGCTTTCAAGTCCTGCTGTGTTCATCTTCTGTTAGCTTTGTTTTGTAATGGTTGGAAAAGAAAGACTGTTCTGCTTGATTATAACAAGCACATCTTGCCGAATTCTTGCATGCAAACCAGGTTCAATTAAAATCACACCGAAGCTGTGTATCCGCATCCATTTGTATTTGCTCCTTCTCTGCTTGTTTCCAAGCTCTTAACCGCTTCCTTGCTTCCTATGCCCTTATCTCTGCTCATTTGAATCAGTTACCTTTCACTTGCTCTTTTCTGTGCCGTTCTTTCCCCTGCTCCCCTGCCTGACACCAGGCCCTAGAGAAACAGAAAGAATCCATTGGCTGCCTCAGGAGGGAGCGAGATTTGCTCCGAGAGGAGCTGGCTGCCCTGCAGGAGACGGTGAAGACTGGAGAGGTACGTTGGCATGTGCCTGCGGCTGTCCTCTGTGCTCCTTTTTCTCATCCACGCATCTTTCCTAGCCTCGGTCCGGACAACGTCTGTCCTCCAGGTTTGGTTGATCCAAGTCATTTGTCTGCAGAGCCCTTTCTCACTGGTTCTGACCAGGCTTGACCTGGGGCAGACGTGTGTTGTTGCGCAGTTGCTTGGCAGAGCTTGTGCGGATCGCCTTTTGTGATGGTGGCTTTTTTTTTCTTTCCCGCAGAAACACGGCTTAGTTATAATTCCCGATGGCACTCCCAACGGTGACGTCCATCATGAGCCAGTGGTGGGAGCCATCACTGTTGTGTCTCAGGAAGCTGCTCAGGTCTTGGAGTCAGCAGGAGAAGGACCACTAGGTAAGGCCCTGTATGCTCACTGGGAGCGGTGTTGCCCTGCTGGGCCTCCAGCCTGTTGTCAACATCCCAGCTTAGAAAATCCAAACCACAGAAGGCCCATCTGTGACTGATTTAGGTCCTTCGCAGGAGGAATCTGGGCACTTTGTCTTCAGACACCCTTGAGCTTGGGAAAAACAGCGTCTGGGTCTTGGGGAGTGAGCCACCAGACGGAAGATCTTTCTGTCTCTCCTCTCTGTAAATCTCTGCCCTTCCAATAAAAATAAATAAATTTTTTTTTCTTAGAATCTACTTCCTGATGGATCAGACTTTTTATTCTACTGCTTGCCTCAAAGTGCTGTAACTCTTGGTGTACGCGTTTCTTAATGCATGAAATAGAGGAGCAAGATGCTAAATAACGGAGTGTGACATCCAGAGCTTCTAAGTGTGTTGTAATCTAAGTCTCTTAAATTCAACCCGTAGAGGGCCTGATGATATCTGTCCTGGATAACTGTGAAGGGGGTCAGCCACTGTTGCTCACAGCTTTACACTGGAGGGAGGAAATGACAGCGCTGGATGCTGTGTTCATGAAGAAACTAGCCCTTTTCCATCTGGTTTTCATATATGCATAGGTGCTAGGGAGTATGAAATACGGTAAGCGTTGAGCAGCCTGAAAACAATTTGTAAAGTTAGCAAGCACCTGCTCTGATGTGCAGACCTGTGCAAGTACAATAGTCAAACCCTTTGACGTGGAGGATAGTGGTGAGCAAGACAATGGAATGGAATGAATCAGTAGATGCTTGGTGGCTCAGGGAGTTTCTTCCTCGTTTGGAAGATGCTAAAGAAAGCAGAACCTAGACTTGACTGTGCTCCTGGCTGGTTGGGGATTAGGTGGGGAGAGGGCTGGCCAGGTGTCCCTGCTGCTCTGGCTGAGTTCCTGACATCCTCCAACCCAAGGATCCATTTCGGGGCAGGCTGCTGCAGAAGCACCCGGTTCAGCAGCCCGGAAGCCAGCCTTCAGGAACCTGCTTCCAAGCTGCAGATTGCCCTGGGCTACCCACAGCTTAGAGCTGGTCCCCTTTCCTCTCTCTGTGCTTTTGTGGGATTCTACTGCTCCCAGCATGATATTGCTCTGTTTTCCCAGCTCCCTCCACCTCCTCCGCCCACGTCTTGTTCCACTTAGACCCTCGGTCTAGTTTTAAATGTTTTGATCGCTCCTGCTAAGTAAGGACTTGACGTTGGAACAGCACCCTTGGCATTGGAGTTGTCTGTCTGCTGGTGAAAGCTTGCAGGAGTTTAAAGTGTGGAAGTGATCTCTTTTCACCTCAGCTTGTCTTTAAGTGGGAAAATGTTTCTGAGAGCAAGCGTTCTATTTGGTGTTCTGACAAATCAAATAAGTTGCGTTAAAGCCTTTATTTCTTTTGATATTTGGAACTACAAAGTAATTTATCAGGTGATTGCTGTTTATCAGTCTGAAGAATTTTATTTTTCATTGTTTATGTATTATGTCATTTTGATTTGTTTTAGATGTAAGGCTACGAAAACTTGCTGGGGAAAAGGAAGAACTACTGTCACAGGTAAACGCATTTCTATCGGGAGGTGTTAATTCGAATGATGTTCTATTAAACGTTGGCCAACTGAAATGTTCTTTAGAAAGAAGTGGGCTTATTTGAAACATCGGTAATCAAATGAGATTTTCATATTTTGCCTTTGTGTTGTTTCTAATTCTCTTTTAGTTTTTATCTTTTAAATGGAGATGCATGTAGGGTGACTGGCTTCCCTCGTCCTGCCTGCCCATTTGGCTGAGCAGAGTGCCATCTCCCGGGCAGGTCCTTCCTGTCTCTCTGTTCCTTCTTTCTCTGAGCTGAGTGTGTGCTATCCTCGTGTAACTCCATATAACATTGCTTATGTTACTGCTTTAAAAAAAATGTTTAAGAATAATCTTGTTGTTACTGAGCAGTTTTAGGTTTAGAGCAAAACAAAATAGAAAATACGGGAATTCTCCAGTTCTTACTTGTCCACAGTGCTTTATAATCGGAATCATGTAGTGTGTGGTTGGGATCGTGCAGCAAGTGCTTGGCATCATGGAGTGTGCTCAGAATCGTACAGTGTGTCAGGATCACGCAGTGCGTGGTCAGAATCGTGCAGTGCGTGGTCAGAATCATGCAGTGCGCAGCCTTTACAGATTTCACCAAAATATATGTATGAGGTTCTACCTTCCCTTTTCATGGGTCGAAAACTTATTTTTCTATTTATCTGTAAGACAAAGAACTGTAGGTATGCTGTCTACTGGTTCACTTGTCTAATGCCTGAAAAAGCAAGTGTGGACCAGGCCAAACCCAGGAGCCAGGAACTTAGCCCATGTCTCGTGTGTGGTCCCTGGGGACTCCGGTGCTGCCCTGCCACCTGCTGTCTCCCAGGAAGCTGTCAGTGGGAGCGGAGCCCGTGGAACCCCAGGCACGGTGGTATGGGACGCAGGTGCCCCGATGAGCATCTTGCCCTCCGCACCGAATGCGCATCCCCCATAGCTCATTTCTTCTCACCGCTGCGTAAGATCTCATTGCTTTGTTGGACCACGGTTTCTTCGGTCAGCTGCTGAAGGACTTCTTGGTTGCTGCAGTTTTGAAACGATTCATAATGCTACTATAAATATTGATGTGCAGTGTTTTTTTATGTAGATATGACTGGCTAAAATATTTTTTTATTTTAAATTTCAATTAGTTTTTTTTAACAAATTCAATGTAACTTTACAATTCAAATAACATCATATTCCCTTCCACCCACTTCTTTCTCCCTTTCTCTTTGTATTACAATAAAATGGCTTGATACTTCACCAAAGACAAAGTTTGAAAGTAAAAATAAGTAAATAAATAAAGACTTTAGTAGGAATAAGACCGGGGTTATAAACAGTAATGAATGGAAAAATTTGATTTCACCTATTTTACAGTGAGTTATAAATCAGTCACAGATCATGAAAGCTGTAGTAGTGCAACATTTTTTTTTTAAGATTTATTTATTTTTATTGGAAAGTCAGATATACAGGGAGGAGGAGAGACAGAGAGGAAGATCTTCCATCCGATGGTTCACTCCCCAAGTGGCCACAATGGCTGGAGCTGAGCCAATCCGGGAGCTGGAAGGAAAGCGGGGCCAAAAGGATTAGAACTGGCGCCCATATAGGATCCTGGCTTGTGCAAGGTGAGGACTTTAACTGCTATGCTATTGTGCCGGGCCCTGTATAACATTCTTAACCTTTGATTCGATAAGGGCATAAAGCAAAGTTTTACCAAAGTGTATTTGCCGCAGTATCAATACACGCAGACATGGAGAACACGTGGCATTTGTCTTTCTGGGGTTCAGCTTCCCTCAGCATGTTGTCCTCTAGTTGAGTCCCTTTGGCTGCAAATGGTAGAATTCTGTTTTTCTGTGGATGAGTAATATCCCATTATGACTTTATACCAGATGGCTCATTTGCCTGAAAGCGCACACCTTAGCCAAATCCAGTGTTTGCCTGCTGTGAGCAGTGCCAGTGTGATCATGGTGGTGCGGGTATCTCTTTCATGGGCATAACCCCAGGCATGGCACTGGTGGGTCCTACGGCAAGTCTGTTTCTAGTTCTTTAATAAGTTGCATGCTGTGCCCCACAGTGGTCGCCCTCACTTCCATTCCCCCCAATGGTGTGTGGGTGTGCCTCTCTCTCCACAGCCTCACCAGCAGTTGTTGTTCTCAGGTTTTTAGCTGTTATGACGATGTGTTGTGGTTTGCTTGGCTAGTGATGTTCAGTATTATTCCCTGTGCTTGTTGATGGTGTGTGTTTCTTCTTTGGACAGCTGTCTGTCGAGGCCCTTTGCCTGTTCCTGTTGCTTGTCTGTTGTGCTTTAGCCATCCTCTGTTGCCATCCCTCTGGGGAAATCTGCTTAGCTGTCTTCCACCTCCTGTCCTTACATCCGTATGTGTATTTCTTGTTCTCATCTGCTCCTAATCAAGGAAGAGTCATTCCGGCCTGTTGATGTCATTCAGTCTCTCAGCTCCGTGTGCAGGAGGAGGGCTGCTTTGCATGCTGGGATCACCTTTCACTTCCTTCACGGTTATGTATTTTCTCTCCAGTTTTTATTGCATGTTTTCCTGTTATTCGCTTGGTTTTGCGTATGTTTTAGTTAGCTGCACAAGTTCCACAAACAGTTTCAATCCACCCCATGTGTTTTTTGATGCTTCAGGTCATCCTGTTGGTTCCATCTGATTGGGTCCTGGAACCTCTGGCTCTCCCACTCAGCCTTGCTGCCTTGGCATGGAGATGGGATCTCTTCTTGGCCCCCAGGGCTTTCTGCTGCTTGTTACTGAGGCTGGTCCCCCGTCCCAGAGCCTCAAGCCTTTTTCTTTATTTGTTCTCCTGTGTTGGAACAACTTCCGGTAACTTCTGGGAAAAGGGTATGTGGACTGTTAATTTCTCATCACCTTGTTGACCTGAAAATGCTGTCCCGTTTTCCTCGACTGATAATTTGGTATAAGTTTCTGAATTGCAATAATTTTTTTTTTTCCTGCGGAAGACATCTCTTCATGGTCCTGTTGTCACCACTTTGGTGCAAATTTCCAGGACATTTTCATTTGGAGCTTTTGTATATGACCTATTTTCGCCCTCTTTCTGGAAGCTTGTATCCTGTACTGTAACTATCCAAAAAATCAGTGATGTGATTTGAAGTCTTCATGTGTCATTCCATGCCCTGTCAGTGTTGGTACCTCTTGCCTTTAGTTCTAAGAGATTTCCTGTAATGATCTTGTTGCTGATTTTTCTCCCATCCTGAATTCTGTTATTTCTCTCGGGAACTTTTGTGCAGTCTTTCAACAAATGTTGGGTGACATTCTACTTTTTAGGTACTTGTGATATTTCAGTGAGTGAGTTTTTTTTGTTTTTTTTTGTTTTAAAAGCCTGTGACAGGTGTTTAAAAGCCTAGTGTTGAGATGCTTCTCCCAGTGCCCAGACCCCACGTCGGCAGTCCCTGGCTGCAAGTGTAGCTGGATGAGCCGTGTTGCTTAGCTCAGGATGCTGCTAGCTCAGGATGCTGCTAGCCATGTTGCTTAGCTCAGGATGCTGCTAGCTCAGGATGCTGCTAGCTGTGTTGCTTAGCTCAGGATGCTGCTACCCCTGGGAAGGCAGGGGTGAGACCTCACATTCTGAGTTCCTGCCACCTTCATGGGGCTCCCAGTTCGCTTGTGGCCTGAGATTGGCCATATGGGAAATGAATCACTAGATGAGAGATGTATCTCTGTGTCTGCCTCTCCACCAACAAAAACAAACAGGAACAGAACATCCCCGCCCAGTGGGCGTTCCGTTCCAGTAAGGCTACGAGACAGTAAACAGTAAGCATTAGTAGTACGCAAACGACGAAGTAGGTTTGTGTGAAGATTTACCTCTGTGTGTTTCTCCAGCTGTAAGCTGCTGCCTTGGGTGTGGGATGGGATGGGATGGGTTAGGTATAACAGGACAGGGGAGCATGTAAGAGTGTTCGTACTCGCACACCCAGCTGCTTCTTGCCCAAGGATCCACCACAGGGGCAGCACCTGGCTGCGCCCTCGTGCAGCAGCACCTGCCGCTGAGCCTCGTGCGGGTGACTCAGGGTAATGGGGCATTTATGGGGCGGTGTGCAGATGGTGGTGTTCAGGAAGCACAAGCCACTGGCCCTCAAAATAGAACGAGCTGGAAACCTCTGGGTGAGAAACAAATGAGAGAGAGGATATGATAGTAATGATGGACTTGGAAATCACTCTGACCAAGCAGGGCTGACAGGCCATCCAGAAAAACAGCAAGGCACAGGGGAACGAAGATGGACTCTGGGTGAGAGAGGACACTGGAGTTGGACGATTGCTGGGTCTGGGGAGAATGAGCAGTGATTACAGAGGATACTGTGTAGGGGTGATGGTTACCTGTGACCTCCCAACTAGCACTGGGAGTGAGAGAGTGAAGGCAAGATGGGGTAGCTGGCAAGGACATGAGTCCTAGGAAAGATCCCCCGCCCAGGGGGTGCGTTCTGAAATTGTCAGGAATTAGGCAAGACCGGAGTTGCCTTGACCGAGCTGGTCAGAAGCGAAGCGGTGAAGGAGTAGGTCGGTGGCAATGAGAGATGAAATTAAGAATAGGACTTTTAGAATGCAGGAAAAATAGCTGAACAACCACAAAGAAAACAAACGACATCTTGTATTTTCTGAGTCTGTGGTGAAATGCTGTGAACTTTGGATTAAACAGAAGCCCCAGGATGTCAAAAGGGAGAGCAGGTTTCCATTAGCACGAGGAGGTGAAGGGACTGCTCACGCCTTGGGGCTGCTGCTGCTGCTGATGCTGTGCTGCTGGGCCCATCGCTCCGAGAGTTCCCAGCAGTAGGTAGGGACAGGAGATGAAGGCTGGAACCGTCCAGAGCCGTGTGGGAGGAGTGCAGGAAGGGAGACTTACCTGCATGGCAGTGATGGGGATGATGGATGAGGCATGTGGCCATGTGACTCTGGGGGTGCCAGAGCAGAGTTTGGGGAAGTGTGGGTTCAGTCCCTGCGTACAGCTCTCCTGTAGGAGAGTGACAGACTAATTCTGGGTGTTCAGGCTTGCCCTGCCACTGCTGGACTTGGGGACAATTGGAAAGTCACTTGTGTATTTCCAGCTGTTTCCGTGTCTAGCAAGTTTTTAAAAGGAAGAACATCTCAGGCTGGCGCTGTGACACACTGGGTTGGGCTGCTGCACGTGTTGTTGGCATCCCATTTAAGGGCCAATTTGAGTGGCCGCTGTGCCACTTCCAACCCAGCTGCCTGGGAAGATGACCCAAGTGCTTGGGCCCCTGCCATGCGTGTGGAATTCTGGATGGAGGGGGACCCCTGGCTCTGGCTGAGCACTGCTCACTGTAGCCATCTGGGGAGTGGACCAGTGCATGGAAGACCTCTTTCTGTTCTTGAAGGGGTCGAGGTAGATTTTTCTGGACCTGAGCTGGTGCTTATATTGGATCCCATTATTGTAGTTGGTGAACTGCTGTGCGATGGTGGCTGTGAATAAATCTTTTCAAAAAATTCTATTTATCCCCTCTCTAATACTAAACTCCCCAAGCCTTAACCACTGATAGAATTTGCCATTTTTATTGAAACTAACAACAAACAGCCCAAAGATGAACTTTGGTGTAAACATTTAACAAAGTATAACTTGTATTGGGACAGCTGGTTCTGGGGCTCAATCCTTCGCACATTGGCTCACAGGTTAGCTCTCACACCATGACGGGAGGTGCTCAAGAAAATGGTTTGAGTGACTGGATAGTCGGTGTGGCTGGTTGGGGGAGGAGGATGCGCCGTGTTCCGAGACGTGGCCGTCGTGCTAGACCTTCGGCTTCGTTGGAGCGCTTGGAGCCGCTGCTGAAGCTTTATTTCTGTTTCAGATTAGGAAGCTGAAGCTGCAGCTAGAGGAGGAGCGGCAGAAGGGGTCCCGGAGTGACGGCCCGGCTGCTGACCTGGCGGGACTGCAGAACGGCTCCGACTTGCAGTTTATCGAGATGCAGAGTAGGTCCCAGGGAGAAGCCGGCGCACTGGGAGCGGGAGTTGGCCTCCTGGTATACATTTGCTTCAAGAACCATGTTAGGGCACTTTGCCGGTCTCTGACTGGTCCACAGACACTGTCCCACCCCGAAACGCAGCAGCCTGTGGACTCCAGCGTTCAAGCACGGCCTGTCACTGCTCAGAGCCTCGTCCTCTGCAGTGACACCCTGGGACGCTGTGTGACTAGGGAACCGTGGCAGTGTCCCCTCCAGTCCAGGTGTCTGTCCAGGCTCAGGTTCCCCAGTGGAAGCCTTGGATAGAATTTTGCCTGGATGATTGGATAGATGCGTTTGCAGTTCACACATGCTGCTGTTGGCTTTCTCCTAAAAGTGCCCTATTAGCCCAATCCCTCCTTGTTAGATGAAATTTAAAACAAGGCCACAAAGTGAATCCAGCTGATTTAGTCACCTAGTGCATTCTAGTTTTTCTCCCTTCCTACTATTGAGCCCATATTATTTTTAAATGCTTGTTGCTGTCACCCAATTTTCCCTAGGAGGAAGATTCTGGTGATGATGGGGTGTAATTTATGAGCTTAACAATTCTGGCTTGAACAGTGGCCTTGCCGATAACAGGCTTTCCAATCTCAGTTATTCCATTCCTTTTGCATCTGTGCATCCTGAGCTAGGAGAATAGAATGGAGTTGTCATATCGAGATGTTCTTTTATTTCATATTCTAATTTAATTTTTTAAGAGAAAACATTGCAAGACAGACTTTCTAGCAGCTGATTCACTCCCCACAATGTCTGTAACAGTTGGGGCTGGGCCATGTTGCAACCGGCGCCCATTTGGGATCCCAGTGCCTCCAGGCTGAGGATGAGTTAGTTGAGGCAACACACGCTGGCTGCCAGCGGTTGTTTTTGTTGAATTTGGATTTCTGGAGGGAATTGGTATCTACCATCAGTTCTAAGCTTCTCATGTAATGCTTTGTATCTCAGCTCACAGCATCTGGCTACATTTTACTGAAGAGCCTTTGTTTCGACCAGTATTAAGCACATGTGATACATGCCAAATGCTTGGCTGGGTGCAGAGGCAAGCTTGCAGGGGGCGAGGGGGGAGCGGGGGCGCCGGGAAGGGCCTCTCTGACATAAGCACACGGGATTTAAACGGACACGGAGAAGAACGCAGATGAAATATAGCAAAGGAGAGGGTGGTTACGTTAACTCAGCAGTCATGGAGACACTGAAGGTTGAGCAAGGCCTTGAATGTTGGTTAAGGCTGAGTGGAGATGCACACTTAAGAAGCAGAACTGAGATGGGAGGGTCAGGCGTGGCTTCAGGGCAGCTGAGGTCCCCTGTGCTGGCTCAGCCCCCCGTCTCCAAAGCCCCGCTGTCCTGGGGGGAGGGGAGAGTGACCCCGAGCCTGGTGTTGCAGCAGAAGGGCCCAGCATCCTGGTACCTGAGCTGCCTGTGGGGGTGCCACGTGCGCTCCTGTGCCCTGGTCATTGTGGGATGGGCTTGTTTGGTCCTGAGAGGATCCACCTGTTCATCCCTGAGACATGAACACAGCGCGGTGTTCTTTTCTCTTCTAGGAGATGCCAACAGACAAATTAGTGAATACAAGTTTAAGCTTTCAAAAGCAGAACAGGATATCACCACCTTGGAGCAAAGTGTGAGTACTACTTCTGTCTGGTTCCTTTAAAGCAGCCACCCCATGAATCTCCGAGGTTCAGCCCACACGTGCCTGGACTCCCGTGGGCTGCGCAGCTGTGCGAAGCTGCACGTGGACAGCAGAGGAGTCATGCAGAGAACCTGCAGGGGCTCCACTCCCTTCCGTCTTCTAACACAGTTCATGGTCACTGTGGTCGAATGTGTATAGGTTTTTCCAGTTGAAGCTCATAGTTTACAAGAAAACACCTGTGTACAGAGTTTAAAAACATCTCCCTCCAGTCCTGCTTCAGTGGAACGCTGCCCTGCAACAGTGTGCTCAGCCTTAAACCTGTGGCCACCCGTGTCATCCTCTCTGGGGACACTTGCTGACTTGGAAATAGCTGGGTTCTGAGAGGAGCTGTGATTACTCAGACTTTGTGTGATGACATTGTATTTCCAGCTCAGCCAGGAGTGAGCGGGTCCAGCTGCACTCACAGGCCATGTGCTCGTGTGCACACCTCAGCCCAGGTGCTCTCACAGCCCCGTGTGCTCGTGTGCACACATCAGCCCAGGGCACTCACAGCCCCGTGTGCTCGTGTGCACACATCAGTCCAGGGCACTCACGGGCCCGTGTGCTCGTGTGCACACATCAGCCCAGGTGCACTCACAGGCCGTGCTCGTGTGCACACATCAGCCCAGGGCACTCACAGCCCCGTGTGCTCGTGTGCACACATCAGCCCAGGTGCTCTCACAGGTCATGTGCTCGTGTGCACACATCAGCCCAGGGCACTCACGGCACGTGAGCTCGTGTGCACACATCAGCCCAGGGCACTCACAGCCCCGTGTGCTCGTGTGCACACATCAGCCCAGGTGCTCTCACAGGTCATGTGCTCGTGTGCACACATCAGCCCAGGGCACTCACGGCACGTGAGCTCGTGTGCACACATCAGCCCAGGTGCTCTCACAGGTCATGTGCTTGTGTGCACACATCAGCCCAGGGCACTCACGGGCCCGTGTGTTCGTGTTCACAGATCAGCCGGCTTGAGGGCCAGGTGCTGAGATACAAAACGGCTGCCGAGAATGCGGAGAAGGTTGAAGATGAATTAAAAGCAGAAAAGAGGAAGTTGCAACGAGAGGTACTTGTTGTAATGTTTCCTGGGGAATAACATTCTTAAAAAGATGAAGAGCCTTGTTGGAAATACAAATTCTTGCCTGCACAGTCAGTGTACTCCTGGGCCCACTGTTAAGAAAACAGTAGTGCAGTCAATTGTTAGTGTTGCTTTGGGGCCCGCACGTGACTGCCTGCCTCGGTGTGCTGCGGTTAAGCTGGAAGTGGAAGGGCGGTTCTTTTTCTTTGCTCTGGACCAGCTCTCTGTCCAGGAGCTGTGTACCCTTTCTGTGACTTAAGGAAACAGTCCCCATTGGCACCGTTAACATCTCTCACTGACTGGGAAGGAAACAAAAGGCTTGTGGGGTCTTGGGCCAGGCCTCGGGCACCGCTGGCACTGCCTCGGTCTCCCGCACAGCACGGGAGGGCTGGGGCGGTTCCCGACTGTGAAGTGACTGTGCTCTGTCTCCAGTTACGCACAGCGCTGGACAAGATCGAGGAGATGGAGATGACCAACAGCCACCTGGCTAAACGCCTGGAGAAGATGAAGGCCAACAGGACAGCACTTCTGGCCCAGCAATAGGGAGGCCGCTCTCCTCCGTGGGTGCAGCTCCCCGGGACCTGCCGAGAGGGACTGATGCTCCTGTACATTGACACAAACCCCCTCAGTACTGTTTTGAGTTTTGTCATTAAAACAGCTACCTTTGTATTTTATAATTTATGAGCAAATGAAGCAGGCTTGACCTCGTGAATGAACACTCTGGATTTTGTTGGTAGTTTGATTCTAAACTCAGAACTGGTCTATTCTGTTTTGTTTTGTTTTTTTTTTTTAACGTAATTGTAGAATCAAGTTTACGCAACACTTTCCCCAGCTGCCTCAGTGACTGGGCACTCGGAGCCTTGGCCAGGCTCTGCAGGACAGCGATTCCACGTGCGCTGAGCCACTTCCGGGAGAACTCAGCAAACACAAGTGCCTTCTCCACAGTGCAACCCAGACGCCAGCGGCCGCCAGCGGGCAAGACGCTCACCCTGAAATATCAGCATTTCTATTTTAGCGAAGAAACGAGTTTCATGGTGGGGAATTCTTTCACTCAAATTTGTATGTTTTGAGGAAGTTTTGTTTTGTTTCTTTTTTTTTTTTTTTGGTAAAATATTTATATAAGAAAATGTTAACTGCTTCATTGCATGGGGCAGAGGACATCCAAGGCCTGGTACCCGTGAAGGAAGAGTCGTCCTTCTCCGGTATCAACTGTGGTGTTCCTTGTCAAATATTTCATCTGCTGCCTCATTGTGGATGAGCCTCAGCTGAGCCCCAGGGGTCCGCAGGGGCAGGGTAGGCAGCTGGGATATCTGCCTGAAGATTCTATTAAATATACATTTTGGCCCACTCTGACTGGCTACCAGTACATTCATGTTTTTACAGGAGCCTTCAAAACCAATCATGGCGACCCTTTGGCTTGTCCCTCTCCCTCTCCCCCCCAACAAGCTGGAAGCCTGGCCTCTTCCTTTCCGCAGCTTTATCCTCACCAGTAGAGGTTCCTACTCAGTGGGCTTTTACCATTGAGTACAGCCACCCGGCAGCACTGGTCATTCTTGACTCTCTGAATCCAAGTGGTTTTTAGATGCACCTTTAGACAAGCTGACGGAGCAGAATGCAGTGAGCGAAGGCCACACAAAACTGGACTTGAAACTAGATATTCAAGTTAGCAGAAGTGAAGCTCTGCTAACCGTTACCTTAGAATTTTATTTCTAAAATACAGAAGCCAAGTTCCTCATCTGAGACCATTTCCCATACTCTCCTGCTGATGGGAGCAGCTGTGTGGCCGGAGTTGAGAAATGCAGCTCTACCTTAGGGCGCCCCAGTTGGGACCCCCACTCCGCAGCCCATCCCCTGGGCCTTGGAAGCGCCTCCCCATCTATCCCACCTAGGCCCCTCTTGGTTGGCGGAACCCCACTTTCAAGAGGCCCTAGTCTACTTGGTGGTACTCTGGCAGAAATTGACCTTCGTCTTGATGTGACACAACAAATATATTTCTTCCGTTGTGTTGTGTTAGTCTGTTCCACATGAAATGGCTCCGTGTGTTAAGGTATTCTGTTGGTTTTGACTGGACTTGCTTCACTAAATCCTGTGATTGCACTTTACATGAAGGCCGTAGCTGGGCCCCCTGCCTGTTAATGCAGGGTAATGCGAAGGAAGGCTGCTTTGGGATCTCGCTGCTTGTGTTTCTACATCATCCTTCAGTCAAGGATACCCGAAAATGTTTTACATTTTGAGTAAGTAACTTGGACATTTTTAAGGAGTGTCATCCCTCCGGCTTTTCAACATGAATGCCGTGTAAATGGACCATGTTAGGCAGCCAGCGTTTCCTCATCTTTTCCTTGTGCTTAGAGTTGATGAGCTCCTTGTTGCCATTTTTTCCTACAGAAACCGAGTCCCTCTTTGCGAGCTGTGGTCACTGCACTGTGCTGGGAAACGCTCCAAGCCTGTTAGTTTTTGATTTTTGCTGCATCCTTGTTGGAAATCGGGACTCTTGGCCTCATAGAGTGAGTGTGCCAAAGCCCCCTCCCTTTCAGCCGTCTTGGAACTGCTCGATAACATGCGGAAGGGTTGGGCAGAGAAGCCGTCACGTCCTGGGCCTTTCCCTGTTGAGACTCTGTATCACCGACTCAGTCCCACATTACCGGTCAGTTCAGGTTTTCTGTCTTCATGATCCAATTTTGGATGTGTGCAGGAATATATCCATTTATTCGGAGTTTCACAATTTGTTGATGTGTAGTTGCTTTAAGAAGTAATACTCTTGAATTTCTGCGGTGCGTGTCATAACAGCTCCCTTCTCACCCCTGGCTTTATCAAGTCTTTTAGTCTAGTTGAAGGTGCAGCAGCTTTTTGGATTTATAAAAAGCTAACTCAATCTTTCATTTAGTTCTAAGTTTTTTTTCCTTCTAGTTTTGATTTGTTCCTGTTTTTCTAGATCCTTGAAATGCAGTCAGGTCTATACTTTAACGTGGTCATTACCGCACACTACCTTCTCAGCACCGTGTTGCTGTATTCCTGAAGCTTTATATGTCGTGTCTCCATTCTCATTACTTTTAAGGCATTTAGGCATGTCCCTTTGGCAACATTCTTCATCCAGGAGTATGTTGTTCAGCCTCTGCGCCTCTGTGGTTTTGTCTGGTACCTGATGTTACTGTTATGGTCAGACAGGATACAGCCCTCCCTCTGCGTGTGTTAGTGCCTGCTGCGTGAGACTAGGTGCTCTGGCCTTAGCACCGCGCGTGGCAGTCCCCCCGTGGCACTGATCCCTGCGGTCACCGTCCTCTAGCTCTGTTCTCTCGGCTGTCCGTACAGCTGTTCCTCACTTGGGTCTGTTTGCATGACATTCCTCCCTTTCACTTTGTCGTGTGTCAAGTGAGTTCCTTGTAAATAACATATTATTGCATCTTCCTTCTAAATCCCTGTCTATCCATGTATTTCACTTGGGAAATGGAGTTTGTTTATATTCGAGTTATTAGTGGTGCCTGTTGGCTTAGTCTTTCTGGTGGAGTTTATGCCTTTTGTTCTTTCCTGTCAGTTGGGGAGGCTGCTTTAGCTTCGGTTCCTGTGGGACACCACGGCGTGCGTGACATGGGCCTTTCGTTGAGTGCGTGCGGCAGAAGCCAGGCGAGATGGCTGCAGCCTTGGCATGCCATCCCCCACCAGCTGCCCATGCATGGGAGCTGCTGGGCCGGGGGCGCCGCCAACTACTGCAGGCCTTAGTGCTTGATCAGAGATGGATGGAGTTCCCAGACCCCCGGCCTGTGTCCACGGTCACGGTGAGGACCTAAAGAGGCAGAGCCTGTCGGCTGTCAGGACGGGCAGGGGGACAGACGCCTGGCAGCCCTGGTGCAGCTCTGAGCAAGCATGCTGGGGCAGGGTGGGTGTGTGCAGCTGCAGTATCTCCTAGTGCAGTAGTGTCTGGTGTGCACACACTGGTGTGTCACGGGGAGTGTGGCTTCCAGGATGGGCCCTGCGGCGGCGGCTGCTGCGGGGACTGTGGGGAAGCCTGTGCGAGTTCCTGCCCCGAGTCAGTTGCTGATAGATGTCTAAGCCCCTCTCCTTCCAGGACCCCCAGCCTGCAGCGCCCGTGGAGTCCCACCATAGCTGACTGCCCAGTGCAGGTGCGTGTGCACACGGGCTCTGCTGAGGCTCGCGCTGTCCTGTCCTTAGGTAAGGGGGTCTCCCAGCTGCTGAGTGGCTCTGACCTGTGCGTGCTGCCGGCCCAGGGCCCTGAGCCCTGCCAGCTTTCTCTTGTTCCCCTGCTGGGTTCGGGCACTGCTCCTGAGGCACTCGCCTGCAGATGCAGCTACTTGGTATTTGGGTCCTTTTCTGGGGGCGGCACAGTAAATGTGCACTTTGGGCTAACAGCACTCCATGGCTGTGACACATACATACAGTCTGTTCTTCCCTCCAGTTTTGCCCTATAGCTGCAGTTATGGATCAGGTAAGTAAATGTCCCCAGAGCCTCTTACGTGTTCAGGATCTTCTTTAAAAAGCATCTGGACTGAGTGTATTTCACCTGATGACAGAAGTTCTCCAGAATGTAGAATCAGATCCTAGCATCGGGCAGGACACCTTCAGGACGCCTTCCGGCGCTGCGTGGTGCTGTGTAAGACCTGGATGCCCAGCATGCTTTGGCACTTCCTTCGAGGTGCCTCGGCACACAGGGCAGTGTGCCCCGTGTGAAGACGCGCCCAGAGAAGCTTTCACACATAATGAAACCAGTGAGGGGTCCTGTGAGGGCACACCTGCAGTTTATTTGCGGTCAGTCAGCATGCGAGGAGCACTGCCCGTCTTCGGCCTTTCGTGCCAGCAGCGACGCGGGGACACAATGGCCCGGAGTCCCTCTGTGGCCGCGTTAACACCTCTCGAAGACTCGGTAGAGGTCAGGCAGGTTAGCAAGCTGCAGGATGTTCCCATCTTCAGCGAAGTGCTTAGGAGGCAGCAGGTGTGAGCGGAAGGCCTTATATACGACGTGTTCCACGGTCCACTTCCAGGGGTTGGCAGTGGACGCAGGGAGTTTGTTCTGGAAAACAGCATTAGACATCATAAACCTCCACACTGGCACCCCGGCTGTACCTGCTGATGGGACAGGGACTGGGGAGGCTCAAGGCTTTGTCCTAGCCAGTTCCTCTGATGCGCCTCTGAGGGCCCCGCCTCGGGGATCCACAGGTGTTTACGAAGGAAAACAGTCATTGTTCCTGTGCGATTTTCCGCTAAGGAATCTGTTCAGTGTTACAGGGTGGAACGCGATGTCTGATCCCGACTCCGTCAGGCAGTCACAGTAGGCGCATCAGTAACCCTAGGGACGGCAGCTGGCACTAACGCCCCACATGGGGGGGAGATGAACATGAGGACCATGGCAGTTCCTCGCTCCTAGATCTCAGTGGTCTCGTGAGCAAGAAAACATTCTCTCGTGCGTCTCTCCTTTTGAGGCCCACTGTTCTGGGCAGAGATGGGTGAGGGTGCTGTGACTGGTCTCTGGCTGGCTGCTGGGGGCTGAGGAGTCCTGAGGCTGCCAACAGCCCCTGCGGTTCCTCACCTCGGAGTGCAGCCTCCCATCTCCCCTCGGGGCAGGCAATCCTGGCAGGCTTCTTTAGGGAGGTGGCTACCTGCTCATGTGCAAGGTGCCTTGAACCCCTACACTCCTCTCCAAAAACGCTTACTGAAAAGCACTGGCCACGGAGTGGGAAAGCACGCGGCAGGAAGCCGGGCTCTCACGGCAAGCTGACCGGCAGCACCGGGTCCCGGGGGGGGGGGACAAGCTAGCCAGCCTAAGCAGCCTGGCTGCACCCAAGGGGGACAGGGTCAGAGCGGACAACCGAACTGAAACCTCGCTCTGAAGGCTTGTTTCTGTGTTTGCCCATTCCCTGAAGAGAAGCTGGCATCAAGGGTGCCGAGGGCCCCCCCCCCCCATCTCGGGCTGCCAGCGCCATGGCACGGTACCTGCTGGCCCGACAGGGTCGAGTCCTCCGATACGTACTGCTTCCGGACTGAGTAAAACATAGCGCACTCCTTACTGAGGCTTTCGAAGCACTCCTTCTCCTCGTCCCAGTTGACCTGGGGCAAAGGGGCCACACTTGAGACAGGCTCACGCTTCGCATCCATTTCACTGCTGAGAGGAGGGCAGGCTACTCAGACCCCCAGGCCTGTTTCCTCCCCCTGGAAGGTCCAGATCAGGCTGCTGAGCACTGCTGGGGACGAGCGGGAGCACTCCCACGCCAGCTGTGCCCATGCACTCTCCCTGACTCCCGCACGGGCCCACACGCTGGCATCGGCGCCAGCACTCACCTCGGTGGCCAGCCGAAGGATGAAGATGGGCAGGCCCTCCAAGGGGGGCACGTAGTTGT